TTCCGTCAATCGTTTCGTCTTCTTTCCGGTTCGGGCCTAATCTTTGCTCGTTGTATCGTTGCATTCCCGACCTGTTGGCTCGAAATTGATTCTCGCCAAATTAAATGGGATTTTCGCTCGTACCGAAACCGGGAGTGTCGGACAAAGTATATATATATTAAATATATACATCGCGCGACCAAATTTTTAATCCGAATACCGAAGTAGTGCGGGAGTGCCGTTGAAAGTATCGCGCGTCAACAACATGAGAGGAGGAGGAGACCTGGGAGAGGCATCTTGCATCGGCGGAGCAACCTGATGGTGAATATTTATTATTTGTATATCAATTGTTATAAATCGTACGCATAATAATTCGATCTTATTATTTAAATGAATTAAACAGAAAATTAGAGAGAAAGATTTTTATAAAAGTTATATAAAACTTTTTAAAAAACTTTCTTAAAAAACAGTTTTAAAATTTTATAAAAATTTTCCACACGTGTTTATCTCTGCTTATTATTTTACATGTCGGATATAAAATTCCGCGCGATAAAAATTTTTTGAAATATTGATTGCATTTTGTGAGCATTAATATAAATGCATTTTGTGAGCATTAATATAAATGAATATTTGTATGTTACAGACAACGTAGCTTCGATAATTATAACTCCGCTGTTGCGCATCAGTGTCGGTGAGTGAGAAAAACTTTTATTTAACTTTAAGGTAACGGATTCGTAGAGATTGTAGATGTAGATTGTAGATTGTAGATTGTAGATTGTAGATTGTAGATTGTAGATTGTAGATTGTGAATTGTAGAGTAAGTCCGTTGCCTTAAAATGGATGAGCTAGGATAGATTAAATTAAATAACTTTTAATAAATTCTTTCGAAATGCTTTGCATCTATTGCGAAAATATATTGAAGTATTAATTTTAAAAAGAGAATCAAGAAAAGAAAATTTTTTTTGTAAAGACTTGACTAGTTTATTAAATCAAGAGCACGCATTAATAATTTTAACAATTTTATCAATTTTTGATACTACTTTATTCTTATAACGCGCACTTATTTTATTCTAATTTCTTATATCATAACTCATCTATTGTAGAATTTGTTTGTAGATATTGTTTTTAAATTTTACTTTAGCTTAAAATAAAGCCAATAAAGCCGATTAATTAATTAAATAGTTTGTAATATCATAAAAGTTATACACATACATGAATTTTATATTTTATTAGAATATATAGTATATAGAAATTTGTAGTAATTTGGCTTTATTTGAGTTAAAATAAAGTTATATTCAAATATTTAACAAACGATCGTAAAATCGAGCGATCGTTACGATGAGCGTGAAATATTTACGCTCATTTGCCGGTAATTAATCGGCAAAAGAAGGAGTGTTTATCTCCTTTTTCGATCTCTGATTAGAGATCGAGCGAGAAAGTGGCCAGAATCAACGAAAAGTAAGTTCAATTGGCCTGAAGAAAAGCTTTACGTACAATAGTACGTAATGTCGGACATTTATTCGCGCGGTTAGGGCATGCGGTTAGAGAATGTAATTAGGGCACGTAATTAAAATATGCGTGATTAGAGATAGGCTTTCCTCGAATAATTTCACTTAATCGAGAAATAGGATTGTTAGGGCTATTAGGTGATCATTAAGATTTTTTAATTTTCCTTTCAAAAAGTAGAGGATTGTTAGGGCTAATATGTGATTAATTTAGCTGATTTTATATTATGTATCTTTTAAAGAATCAGGAAATGTAGGTTTAAATAATATTAGGGAAAACTAATTAATAAATAGTTCAATAATTATATTTTTAATATTAAGATATTTAAGGGATCAATATTTTTTGAGTGTTTTTTAAGAGAGTTTTTTTTCCCCACGTAAAAAAAGAAAGGATTGTTAATTTATTTTGTATTACATTTCAAATTATATAATATTATATTTTACATTAACTTTTTGTATTAAATTCTGTATTGAAAGAAAATGAAAAATTTTGCCTTCTTGATATCTCCATCTTAAGAATGGCATTTACCGGCTGAGGAGGTTTGAGTATTTTAATGAGCCTGAGAGCTATGCCGGCGGTAACATACACCGATATTCGTATAGACTTTTCTTATATTTAAGATAATTTTAAGTATAATCTTAAATATAAAAGTGAGTTATGAATACCGATCGTAGTTATATATTGATAGAGTCATCTATGCCGGACAAGTCAAAGGGAAAGTGTCAGACTAAGAGAAATACCAAAATTATATAAATATTTGTTATATTAATTATATTAATATTTTTAAATAAAATGAAAGAAAAAGGGACAATAATCGAGAAAAAGGCAACTACAGTGATTTGAATATCTATACCTGAGAACAAATGTCCATAGAAAGTATTTCGATGGACTCCATAGGAAGGAATGACAAATGATGATAATTTTTATAATTTTAACACAAAGGAATACAATAAACCATAATAATCCAAGAACTCGAAGAAGAGAATATATTGGATAGAAATGCATAATGATTGAAAATAATTAGAAACTAAAAGACAGTGTGCAATCTTTTTATTAATAATAATACTATTTTGTAATTATATTAAATTTTATAATTTAGTACATTATATTATATAAAATATTAAGCATAAAAATATTATGCTGGTAAGAAAATTATAATAAAAGTATACAAATAATGTTGACTATATTAGAATAGAACATATGAATTCTTTATATTTTATATAAAGGAAGAGATATTTAAAATATTTTGCAACATCTATATTTTTCGAATCTTATAATAATTATAAAAGCTTCAGAAGAATCAGTGATTACTTTAACAAATTCTATACATGTATTAATAATTACATTTTTAATTTTTTTATCATTTTTATCATTTTTTAATCATTTTTAATCATTTTACTGCTAATTAAAAAGATTTATAGAAATACGATTAAAAAAGTTTTTATTCCACAACAGACATTTTGTTTTTTTGTAAATAAAAATATATAAATATGACATTGAATGTATAGAAAAATATTTATTTTATCTTTGAACATTACATTGGAAGATCACAGTATTTTTCGGGATTGAAGTCAAATTTTAACTTCTTACTTTGTGATACGACATAAATAGATATGAATCAATTAATTAAATATATATTATATTTAAATTTTTCAATGTTAATATATCTTTCGAAAAGAGATAATATATCTGTATTTATGTACACATAGAATATATATATGTAATTCCAGCGCGTGTATTTCATGTAATGTTTTAAATTGAATATATATATATATATATATATTTCTAAACATAACGCAGCTATTTCAGAATAAAGTTGTAGCGTTATATTATATGTACATATATATATTATATGTGTGTGTGTGTTTATTTGTGTATGTGTAGAGAGAGAGAGAGAAAGGGAGAGAGAGAGGACCACAAAATTTATTTAAAAAATTAAAATTAAAAATTTATTTATATTTATATACATATGCGTTTTGCTATACAGCACTGATGGCATTTCGTGTACATAGGCATTTCGTGTACTACAGGCATTTTTTACATAGCACAGAACAGAATCAGAAATTGTGCACATATATGTTACTCTCTAAGGCCGGTATTCATAGTTCGATCTTATATTTGAGATCGTCTTAAGTTCGAGCTTGAAATGCTACGCAGCTATTTGATTGGTTGAATGAGGTCTTAAGTCAACCTCCAAGCAGACTTAAGACGATCTTAAATATAAGATCGGACTATGAATACCGGCCTTAGAGAGTAACATATATGTGCACAATTTCTGATTCTGTTCTGTGCTATGTAAAAAATGCCTGTAGTACACGAAATGCCTATGTACACGAAATGCCATCAGTGCTGTATAGCAAAACGCATATGTATATAAATATAAATAAATTTTTATAAATATAAGAACTTTCGTGGACTTTGGCTTTGTAGTTCATGTCCACATTTTTTAGATTAACAGAGGGCGTATCGCTTTCAGGGATCATCTAAAAGCGGGCCATGACACCTCTCAGTCTTCTTTCTGCTAACCAATCAGCCATTGCCACGCTGCCAGCTGATTGGTCACTTCTACGCTCCCCTTGCCCCGCGAGAGAGTGGCCGCGGAACGAATCGTTGTCGCGCAGTGTTCGTTATTCCAGTGCAAGAAAACTTAGGCCGGTATTCATAGTCCGATCTTATATTTAAGATCGTCTTAAGTCTGGCCCGAGGTTGACTTAAGACCTCCTTCAACCAATCAAATAGCTGCGTAACATTTCAAGCTCGAACTTAAGGCCGGATCTACAATAGGCAATTTAAGCTTTAAGCCTTAGCCCGGGTCCACAATAGGTAATTTAAGCCCTAAGCCTTAAGAAATTGACCAATCACAGTCAAGTATGAAGAGAATATCTGACTGTGATTGGTCAATTTCTTAAGGCTTAGGGCTTAAATTACCTATTGTAGACCCGGGCTTAGGAGATTGACCAATCACAGTCAAGTATGAAGAGAATACTCGACTGTAATTGATCAATTTCTTAAGGCTTAGGGCTTAAATTACCTATTGTAGATCGGGACTAAGACGATCTCAAATATAAGATCGGACTATGAATACCGGCCTTAGTGCACGAGTTCACTGAACTGGCTGCACTAGGTCCGGAGGTAGTGCAAGCAGTGTAGAGCAACCAAGGAGGTGTTTTTTATTCCTGCACTGAATATAGCCGGCAATTTCAAAACTTAAAGGTTAATGTAATTATAAAAGTAGAAGTTTTTTTAGATAAAAAAAATTTTACAAAATTTATATTTTAATATATATACATACATATATATATATATATATATATATATATATATATATATATATATAACAGTAACTGATAACGATTTTTACTATATAAATTGTGAACATTATATATATATATATACATTACCATTATTAACAATATATATATATATATATATTGAAATATAAATTTTGTAAAATTTTTTTTTGATCTAAAAAAACTTCTACTTTTATACTTACATTAACCTTTAAGTTTTGAAATTGCCGGCTATATTCAGTGCAGGAATAAAAAACACCTCCTTGGTTGCTCTACACTGCTTGCACTACCTCCAGATCTAGTGCAACCAGTTCAGTGAACTCGTGCACTAAGTTTTCCTGCACTGGAATAACGAACGGTATCGGCTACATCAGTTCTGGAATAACGAACACTTTAGTGTACACTTTTTGAACTAGTGCAGCCAGTGCAGGAATAAAAAACAAACCTCTTATGTCATTAACATCTTGTTCGTGATGTGAAATATATAAAGTACTTTTTAAAAATTTTATTTTTAATTATATACAGAAGTAAATTGTATTTTATATCAAGATGTCACAGAAAAAAAGAGTACTTATGATATGTTTAGGTAAAAATATTATACATATAATGGAAAAAAAATGGTCTAAATTTATATAAGATGGTTATATATATGATGTTTATTAAATTAAATGATGTTTATTATGTGTGTAGTTGTAATATTTATTAATTATTTGCTAATATTTCATATTGTAGGCAATATTTGTCGTTCACCGATAGCAGAAGCTGTATTTGAAAATGAAATGAGTAAAAGAGGTTTGAAGAATCAATGGGAAGTAGAAAGTGCTGCTATAATGGGATATCATACGGGTAAAGTGCCAGATCATAGAGCTTTGAGTACGCTGAAGAAAAATGGGATCACTAGATACTCTCACAGAGCACGCCAAGTAAGACTACAGCTGAAATTAAACGTTGCAATTATAATAAATTTCCTATTAATTGTAATTGATATAAATAACAATATATAATCTTAACTTTTTTATATAAATCTTTTTTATATGAATAACTTATAAAATTTTTTTAGAAGAAATATATAAACATTATGATTAAAATTAAATAATTAATAATTGATTAGAATTATTCGAGTCATTGCTTATTGTATTTAAATCTCTTTCATTTATACAGATTACACAAGATGATTTTGATAAGTTTGATTGGATATTTGGCATGGACAATGCTAACATTCAAGATTTAAATAATCTAAAGCCAAAAGAATGTCGGGCAAAAGTGGAACTTTTAGGAAGTTATGATCCAAATGGAGAAATCATAATACGAGATCCATATTTTGTATGTCATTCTTGAACATTTATAGGATTAGGAAAAAATGCGAATGTTAAATTGTTTTTAATTTTCCTGCAGGATGGCGGTAGTGCAGGATTTCAAAAGGCTTATGAACAATGCCTGAGAAGTGTAACAGCATTTTTGAACAAACATGCAAATTAATGTGAAGAGTAATCTAAATATTAATTTAAATACAATTTTAGGAAAATACATTTTAATGTAAACTAATGAAATTTTATATTATAATTTTTCGTAATTTGTGACTGCTATTTAAAATATTGAGAATAATTATGTTTTTTTTTTTCAATTCTGAATATTTATTTCGTGATTTTTTCATTTTCAATATTAAATATTTTGAAACAAATAAAATTGAAATTCTTAAAATATATCTTTAATGTGTATGTAAAATGTAATAAAGAGTTATTTTTGTGAAGAATTGTATCTCACTTATATCTAATATATTACATTGAAAAAATAGATTTTCAATGCTTTAAAGTCTATAAAAAGTCTATAAAAAACATAATAATAAGTATATATTATATAATAAGCATATATTATGATAAATGTATATTATAAGCATTGATATAATAGAATACAAGATAAATTAAAAATTCATACATAGGCATCACAAATAAAGTTCTGAGCCAGATCACCGACGAGATATTAAAGATCGACAGTCCTAGATTTTCATGTCCACCAAGTGGACCCAGTAGGCCTGAAGATGATACAAGATTGATATCACCGACCATTTTGATTATATCAAAGACAGTTATAAAAGTTAATTAGACCATGCGAGTATTTTAGGTCATTTACTATTGTTTTATTATCGAAAATGTATAAATTGTTTATGTAGCTATTTCAAAAATAACAAAACAAACATTTTATGGTATTATCGACCATGCACAAGACATAGCCAGGTAGAAATGTTAGAGCAGGCAAGAATACTGACAGAAGTTTTGCTATCTGATGAGCAAAAAAAAGGAATATGCAAATAATTGAACAAAAATTAATTAATAATTAATTTTCCTGCTCTTGTCACTCCTCGTGGCTATGCCTCTGACTATGCATAGATTTTTCACAAGAATGGAATTTGCACATACGTATGTATATCTCCCACACGAATATATTCAAGAATCTGCCTTCATTCTTTAATAGTATCTTATTATGATCAAACAGGAAGAGAATGATGTCTTTCGAATTTAAATGGCAATATATGCTTATTTTATACATGATGAAAAGATAGAGTTTTAAAGATGATAGAATCTGCAAAAAACTGATTTTAACGTAATCTTTATTTGCCAGTAATTATAAGTATATACTGTATTGAAATATTGCAGTGATACATATGCATTATCATCAGTCGTGAGAAAGTCGTATCTCGAAAAAGTTGAATAGATATTAAATAATTCTTTTTAATCTTCCTAGAACTTATAAGCAATAATTTACAATTAGAAAGGAATCAACAATGGTGCAAAAGAAGAAAGTTCTTATGGTTTGTTTAGGTATATATTTTAATTTATTGATTGTTGATAACTTTTTCACTTATATCTTCTATTGCTTTAAAAATAAAGAATGAAAATTATTATCATTTCAATTTTTTTTCTCGTAAAAAGAATTTAATGATTGAATTAAGATTGCTTTTATATAATATATATACAGAGCGATTTATATAAAATAATCGATGTAAATATTAAGCTAAAGTTTAAGATATATAAAAAAATTCTTCATACATAAAATATTTGACATGGAGGGAAATCTCCTATAATATAAATAATATTTTTTGTAGATTGAGACTTTTGTAGATTAAAGAGGGACTTCAAGGTCTAAATTTTTTAAAAATAGGATTACTCTAATTTCTCCATATAAATCGATGCTTTACAATATTTCATTCTCTTGTAAAAAGTTACAAGAGTAAGATAGTTAGAAATTGAATAATTTACAAGATATTTTATATTTTAAGTTGACATAATTTTGCATAAACTATAAAATATGTCGTAAAATATTCATTTTTCGATTACTTGACTTTAATGCTTTTATGCAGATTAGACTAATGAAACGAATTGTGTATCGAAAATTTATTAAAAATTAAAAATATAAAAATATATTTTTTTAAATATAATGTATTTGATATGTAAAATTAAATATTTTTATTAAATATATTTTAATGTGAAATATATATTTTTATCGTATATATTTATAATATGTTTTTATAGAATAGAATAATCCTAAATTTTTCATTTATTCATTTTTTAAACGAATTTATTCATACATAATATATAAATTAATTATATATTATGCATAAATAAATTATTAAATTTATTATATTTATATTTGTATATCACATACATCGAATCTTTCTATGCAAAATTTATAAAAAATTGAGAGAAAGAAATATTTGTGCATGTAAATATTTTTATTAAAAGAAATTATTTGAAACATTTGAATTACAGCTGTAAATATCGCAATTAGTTTGCGGCAATTTGTAAATAACATGTTTTTTAAAATATTCCCAAATTAAAGTCGAATGATTTTTTTCACATAGGAAATAAATGCCGTTCTCCTATGGCAGAAGCAGTGTTTCAGGATCAAGTGCGAAAAATGGTTTAGTCCGATTTTTGGAAGGTGAAAAGTGCTGCTATTTTGGACTATTACATAGGTAATGTTCCAGAACCTAGAGCAATGTCCACTCTTCGAAAGGAAGGAATTACGAATTACTCTCATATCGCGAGACAAGTGAGTCTGAAATCTTTTTTATATGAAATTTTTTGTTGACAAAAATTATTTTCAGGTCAAAAAAAAAAGATTTCTATAAATTCGATTGGATATTCGGAATGGATAAGGATATTATGCACGAACTGTATAAGATGTGACCAAAGGATAATCGAGCGACGATTGAACTACTTGGGAAATATGATCCGGATGGAATAGCTGTTATAAGAGATCCCTTATTTGTATGTTTTATTGCATAAGATTTTTCTCATATAAAAAAAATGAAAGTTTCCTATATTTAATAGATCAAGCATTCTTTATTGTATTTTTCTAATACGTAATTATATAAATTTTATATTTATATTTTAATATTAAAAATTTCTAATATTATATTCTATATTAAAAATTTTTAATATATTAAATTTTAAATTCATAAATATATACAAGTATATCTAATATAAATTTTTCTATCATAAAATTAATCAATAGATCTTTTTTGTTAATAAGATATTGGTAGTACTGGATTTGAAAATACCTTTCAACAAGCTTTAAGGAGTCAGGCGCTCATTTTTGGAAATGAAAATGGTATTTTATCCTATTCTTTTAGAGCATTATTTAAAGAAAAATTTAAAAAAAAGATAATTGTATTTTTTGTGAAAGTATTCTTTACAAGATCTATTTTAATATCTTTTTGTGAATACTCATATATTTTCATAAAATAAATAATTAAAATATATTTTACATTATATTATAAACAAAATATAAACAAAAAATAAAATATCAGAAATTTTTATTTTAAGGAAATACTAAATATTCAAAGAAAAAAGATTCGATATAATCTGTATGGATACAATCGGGGATACGCTCTGAATGCTTTGAAGCTTTTGATTGATCAATCAGATTACAAAAATCTTCACTCCTTTTATTCTGATTGGTCAAACAAACGCTTCAAAGCAATCAGAATGTCTTCTCGATCAGATGAAAAAATAGAGTTTTAAAGAATGGCGGAATCTGCAAATTGGTTTTAACATTGTCTTTATTTATCAGTAATTATAAGTATGTACTGTATTGAAAATATTGCATATATTGATATTAGACACTTAGGCCCGGTCCAACAGTGGCTAGTTAGCTTAATTAGTAGTTAAGTAACCACTGAAACAAAATTCGGTAAGCTAGGTTAGATTTTGACAAGTTGCATTTTCGCAAAATAATATACATAAGTGAAATATTGAAAATTTATAAATTTTGTAAATAAATGTATGTATATTTTCAATATTTCACTTATGTATATTTTGCGAAAATGCAACTTGTCAAAATCTAACGTAGCTTATCGAATTGGTCACTGTTGGACTGACCGAACCTTATAATCAGAGATCAGAGATGCACCAATGACTCCCCACCACGATTTCTATCCGCCATCTTATACCCTATGACGTCATTAACATCACATATCCTTGTGTTTCGAGTCTAATCATACTGTAACAAAACGAGTTTGCTATATGAAGCATTTGGCAGTGTCTATTTGATTTAATTATTCTTATTTCTACGTTGAGTAAATCATTTAAATGTATAGTGACGCTATATTATATTTTATCTTTCTTATTATCTTTCATAATAATATCATAATAAATGCAAAATGTAAAATATATATTAACATATAATATAAATATATCAATGCATTTAGATATACAGGGTGTCCCAAAAGTCCCGGACCGGTCGAATATTTCATAAACTATGCACTTTAGAAAGAAATGTTTCAGACAAAAGTTGTATAGCTTGAAGGAGGCCATCAGATAGTGGCAATGATTTGACATGAGAGAGTCATTTGAAGGTGACGTAAAGGTCACCTTCAATTTCTTAAATGGAACCTCCTATTTTTTATTACATATTCGTATAGCTTATCTCGAGAGCTTTCCAAAACTATAATAAAGTATTTCTTCATTGAGTATTTTTCGAGTTATGAGGCTTGAAATCATTTCTTAATTTTGCAGAACCATAAAATATCTAGTAAAATATTCATTTTTCGATTATCTTACCTTAATACTTTTATGTACAAAATAATGAGAGGAATTAATTGGTGTAAAAAAAACACATAGTTGTTTTGAAAAAAAATATGTAATTGTTAATTGCAAATTACATATTTTTTTTCTTAAAAACAACTATGTTTTTTCTTTACACCAATTGATTATTTACGTCACTTTCAAATGACTCTCCAAGATCGAATCATTGCCACTATCTGATGGCCCCTTTCAAGCCATACAACTTTTGTCTGAAACATTTCTTTCTAAAATGCATAGTTTATGAAATATTCAACCGGTCCGGGACTTTTAGGACACCCTGTATAATAATATATATAATATATAAACATAATTTGGTAATTTTTTCAATTATTATAGCAGTTCTTCCTAGCAAAACAATCTTTCTCAATTTAAAAAAAAATTATGTAAGCTAATTGAGATTATGTTATAAACTTATAATATTACATATAATATCATATAATATTACATAATATATGAAAAAGACGTCATGGGGTACAAGATGGCGGAAAAACCATGATTTTACAGTGATCAATCAAAAACTGTTCGTCATTGGCGCTATTAGTTTCTGATTATATGTCGCTAATTGATACATATGCACCATCATCAGTTGTGAGAAAGTCGTATCTGGAAAAAGTTGAATATATATTAAATAATTCTTTCTGATTTTCCTAGACTTTATAGACAATATATAACTTGCAATTGGAAAGGAATTAAAAAATGGTGGAAAAGAAGAAAGTCCTTATGGTTTGTTTAGGTATACACTTTAATTTATTGATTGTTGATAATTTTTTGAATTATTTCCTATTGCTTTAAAAATAAAGAATGGAAATTATATATTATCATTTCAATTTTTTTTCTCGCACAAAAATTTGATGGTTGAATTAAGATTGCTTATATATAGTATGCTTATATATATACAGGGCGATTTATATAAAATAATTGATGTAAATGTTAAATTAAAGTTGAAAATATATAAAAAATATATAGAAAACATTTGATATGGAGGGGAACCTCCTATAATATAAACAATTTGTTTGTAGATTGAGAATTTTTTTGTAGATTAAAAGGACTTCAAGGTGTATCTAATTTTTTAAAATGGGATTACTTTAATTTCATATAAAGCAATTCTTCACAATATTTCATGTAAAAAGTTATAAGGATAGCCAAAAATTGAATAATTTACGAGATATATATATTAAATTGACATAATTTTGCATAAACTATAAAATATCTCGTAAGATATTCGTTTTTCGATTACTTGACCTTAATGCTTTTATGCATAGATTAATGAAACGAATTGCGTATCGAGAATTTATACAAAATTAATAATATAAGATATTTTAAAAAATTTTAAATATAATGTATTTGATATGTAAAATTAAATATTTTTATTAAATATATTTTAACGAAAAATATATTTTTATCACATATATTTATTGTACATGTTTTTATAGAATAAAATAATCCTAAATTTTTCGTTTTTGAATTTATTCATACGTAATATGTAAATTAATACATATATATATTTATATTCGTATATTACATTGAATCTTTCTATGTAAAATTCATAAAAAATGTGAGAAAAAAAATATTTGTACATATTTGTAAATATTTTCATCTATTAAAAGAAATCTTTTGAAAAATTTGAATTCCAGCTTGTGAATATCATATATAGTTTATGAATATTTGTAGCAATGTGTAAAAAACATATTTTTTTAAATATTCCCAAATTGGACTCGAATTATTTTTTCACAGGAAACAGTTGCCGTTCTCCTATGGCAGAGGCAGTGTTTCAGGATCAAGTACAAAAAATGGGTTTATCTGATTTTTGGGAGGTAGAAAGTGCTGCTATTTTGGACTATCACATAGGTAATGCTCCAGAACCTAGAGCAATGTCCACTCTTCAAAAGGAAGGAATTACGAATTACTCTCATATCGCGAGACAAGTGAGTCTGAAATCTCTTTATATAAAATTCTTTTTTGACAAAAATTATTTTTAGATCACAAAAAATGATTTCTATAAATTCGATTGGATATTCGGAATGGATAAGTATATTATGAGCGAACTGTATGAGATGCGACCGAAGGATAAGCGAGCGACGATTGAACTACTTGGGAAATATGATCCAGCTGGAATAATTACCATAAGAGATCCTTTATTTGTATGTTTTATTGCATAAGATTTTTCTCATATAAAAAAATGAAAGTTTCCTATATTTAATAGACAAGCATTCTTTATTGTATAAAAATATACAATTAATATAAATTTTATATTTATATTTTCATATTAAAAGTTTCTAATATTATATTAAATTCTATATTAAAAATTTCTAATTATATATTAAATTCTATATTGTATAGATAAAATTATATATTAAATTATATAATAAATTAATTATATATTAAATTTATAAACATATAAATATATAAATATATCTAATATAAATTTTTTTACCATATAATTAATCAAGATTTTTTTTATTAATAGGACGTTGGAAGTGCTGGATTTGAGACAGCCTTTCAACAAGCTTCAAGGAGCGTGCGCTCATTTTTGGAAATGAAAATGGTATTTTATCCTATTCTTTTAGATTTTATTTCTTTTAGATATTATTTTAAAAAAAATTAAAAAAAAAGATGATTGCATTTTTTGTGAAAGTATTATATTCTTTGCAAGATCTATTTTAATATCTCTTTATGAATACTCATATATTTTCACAACTAATTAAAATATGTTTTACAGGATATTATAAACAAAAAATAAAATATCAAAAATTTTAATCTTATGGAAATACTAACTATATTTTTAAAGAAAAAAGATTCATGTAATTGAAGAAATAATGTTCATATAATTTATAGATATCTTTAAGCACAGATTATCTGTATATATTATACAATATTTTTGAAATTGAGATCTCTCCTTTTTCCTATTACAGAATATATATTTTTTAAAAATTTATATGATCACATTCGATCATTAATTAATTCCTTAATGAGTGATCGTGTTTCTGAATCTATTGATTATATACCTACAATTATATTAGATAAATGTAGATGTAGATAAATGTAGATAAATGTGTAGATTAAGGATCCATTTGAAATAATTTTGATTTTGACATATGTCCTCAAGATTATAATATTTTAAAAAGTTTTTCAGTTTTGCTCGTTATTTTTATTAAAAAATTGTTATTAAATTTAATGAATAAAATGAATAAATTAATCAAATTGAATGATAAGAACAAGAGTATTAAATGCGGTATAATCTGAACTTCTTTGAATATAAATTTTATATTATATTTAAATATATAAGTAAATTCATAGGTGAGAATTTCAGAAATTCTGTTTTTCCCTCTCATTCTCATCTCCACTGACAAATTCTAAACTTTATTAACTCAATATATGCATTTATGTACAAATGTACAAATAGAATCATGTATATAATTTATGTGGAATCATACAATTATAAATTTGATTTTATATATATATATATATATATATATATATATATATATATACAGGGTGTCTCAGTTATCTTTCGTTATCTTTTAAAGATTCCTGGGATCATCTGAAGACGATTTTTCCTCAACGAAATGTGTCGAGGCTTAATAATTTTCAAATTATAAGTGATTGGAAATAAGGTGTTTTTTGTAAACTAAGCTTTGTAGAAATAAAATATTAATGGAACCACATTTTTTGATTAATTTTAAATAGAGTTTATTTTAGCTGAATTTTAATTTAAGACTTAATTGCAAAGATATATGATGACAAAAATCGGGAACATGCAAAAAATGATGGCCTTCATTGACATTTTTGCTGAGGAAAAATCGTCTTCAAATGATCCCAGGAATCTGTCTTTGAAAGATGACGGAAGATAACTGGGACACCCTGTATATATATATATTTTTTCTTTTTTTTTTTCTTGGAAGTTTTATATAAATTATTATTTATAATATATGTGTTGTATATATATATGTTGTTAAAACATAAAAATTATAACAAATAAAAGAATTAATAATTTATATAGATCATAACAAGAAAAAAAAACATGTGTATAGAATCTTAATACAAGTTTATTATGGCATGCTGGAGTCGATTATGCGTCAATGACCACAATGACTCACGCATGCGCGCGAAAGTCCCATCGGAGAGATTTGTCCCCTGCCACTGGCTGCAGTAGCCATTCAATACCCCGTATGTATTTGGTCGGTGGCAGTCTGTGATCTTTCTAACAGCGTCAACACCTGCAAGTACTGTATTGTTCTTACGGCGAGAGATTAGTTGAATATTTTCGAACAAAGAGTTGGAGAGAGACTCCTGTTGATCCCGTGAAGATTGATTTTACATCCGAGGGATTAATGTACGAGATAAATAATCCTTCAGATGTGAAATATAACATCTATTCTTCTAGGAAAAAAAAGGTTAGTAAGAAAGAAAGAGCGGGTAGTTCGCGAAATAAAGGAGAAAATGAAGATTCGCGAATATAAGGATCAAAATGGCGATTCTATAAAATGTTGCGCGAGAACAAAAAAAAAAAAAAAGACGAGACGTGAGAAAAGATCGTGATATACGTTCCAATTCAGAATATTAAAAAAAAAGATTAAAAAATATACAGGACATATCGGAAATCGTGGTACAAATGCAATGGAGATAATTTTTTTTATGCAAATACGAGTAAAAAATGTAGGGAAAAATTTGTTCATATGAAATTTCGTTTTTTGAGAAAATTGAATTTTTGCTTTTCACGAGAAGAGATATTACATATATATTTTTAAAAAAAATTCAATTTTCTCGAAAAACGAAATTTCATATGAACAAATTTTTCCCTACATTTTTTACTTTTATTTGCATAAAAAATTATATCTCCAATGCGGGGAAAAAGAAGAAATGAATATTTATCGGAAGAAGAGAATACCGTAAAAATATGACGCATAAAAAAGACACATAAAGAAAGCTCCTTTTTTTATTATTCGATCTAAAACTCGTATTTTTATGAAATCACGATTGATAAATTTTATCGATTTGCGCAGTATTTGGGATTTATCATTAGGATAATCTTTTCTAGCTTTGCAATCGTAAGAAAATTAGTATATTATTAATAAGTTCATTTTTCAAGGTCAGATTGCATCAGCATTTTGGATTTAAGTAGAACTTATATATATATAAATATGTATTTATTTTTATTTCTCTCCTTCAAATTAATAAATTTATTATATAATAAATATATATCTGTCTAAACATGGGATATAATAAATATATATCTGTCTAAACATGGGATAGCATTTTTTGTTGGAAGAGTTCATTTATATCATTAAATATCACACATATGTATTATATAATGTGTGATATTTATATATATTTTTCTAATAAGGTGAACAGATTATATATACTATGAAGATATAAATATGTAAAGCTAAAAGTGATGATAAAGATGAGATTCTGGAACAATTTCATCATTGAATATATATTGCAAATGATATATTGATATTTACAGTAACGCATTGCTTTATGTGATTCTGCAAAATGATGTATGTATATTTGTATTCACACTCAAAATAGATATTAAATAAATAGATTTTATTATGTATTTTTCTTTATCATTGTTTACACTAACAAATTATATTCAAGGAAAATAGGTGATGAAGATAAGTGCCCAGATAGCAAAATACTAGCAGATTGGCAGCAGATTTGATCAGAATCCCACACCAAAACCATAGCCATCTGTGTTCGCATTAAGCTTGTGTTCTGTCGGCAGATGTGAGCAGATTGGCAACAGAAACCATGCAGATCCTGCTAACAGGTAATGTGAGAAGATTGCATTGCGCAGACCCTTCAATTTCTGCTGCCAATCAGACATCAAACTGCGTTGCGCAGGTCCTGCTTAATTTCTGCTGCCAATCTACTATGATAATTCTGTACAAATCTTATTTGATTTCTCTTTACTGACCTGCTGTTAATTTATGTCAGCAGGTTTTGCAGTATTTTTGGTGACATTCTGCTTTCATTATTTAATGTAACAGGTCTTGTATACAATCTGTAATCTTTCTGTTGACAAAAATTTGTCGCAGATGTTTGCAAAAATTGTTGCAAAAAATGTTATGCTCGAACAGACTTTGCTATCTGGGTAGATTTTATTATATATTTTTGTATTTATTACACTATATCAAAATAAAAGTTACATTATTAACATTACAAGTTATACTTCTTATAATTCTTTAATATAATTCTTTCTTTAGGGTTTTCTCCACTGGAGTTTGTGAAATTTATTAAAACTAGATAGAATTGTATATATGTGTTAGAATTTAATTATATATAATTTATATATAATTATATATAAATTAATTATATATAATTGAAATTAGTAGAAAATTAAATGATTTATCATAATTAATTCTTTTTAGATATATATTAAATTTGTGACGAGACAAGCTATAGTATTGGAATTTGGATTATAAACTTTAATCATGATGGAGCAGTTTCATCAGGAAATTCTCCGCCAATTGAGAAAAAATATAATCGATGATTTAGATATTGAGAATGACATTTTAGAACCTTTACAACGCAATAAGATTTTAGAAAGAAATGATATTGAGAACATTTACACTGGGGTTTCTAAAGAAGAAAGAGCAGAAAAATTGTTACATATACTTCCAAGGTATGTTTATACTTTCTTTTGTTTTATATGTGCACATGTTTAATCTTTCATATCTGTTTTTACCTTAATTGTTATTTAAATTTTTATCCTATTTTTACTAATAAATAACACTAATCATATGCTGCAATTTATGCTAACAATTATTTATTTAACAATATAAAACTTACAATAAACAGAGAGTTCGATATAATATAATACATAATAAATCATTTTATCACATATAATATGTAGTAAATCATTATGTTTTTGTATTAACATTTTTAAGATGTGGCCCACATGCTTTTGATGTTTTTCATCAATCCTTAAAACATCACTACATCTGGCTTAGTGAGCAAATAGATAAATTGTTATGTAATTACAAAGTAGAAAGCAATGAAGAAGTAGATTTTTATGTTGGACCTGCTAATATGCCACCCCTTTCTCCATTGACAGTTACCAGAGAAGAAAAGGTATAATTACAAGTATAATATCTATATGATATTAGATTATATGAGTCATTATCTGACCACATTTTGATTATAAGTTCTGATGTGATAAGATAAAATTATATCTGACATATTATCCCTATAATACATATTACAAAGTATATGTCAGATTATATTATTACACAAAAGAAGGTATTTATATCGCGTAATCTTTGTGATAAAATTACTTTAAATATTTTTAAATATAAAGAGAAGTTGTAGCTTTTTTTCTTTCATAACATCAGATGTAATATATTTAATTTTGTGGTATTATAGATGTTATGATACATTATTTCGTTTTTTCTTATTGACTTTTGTTTCTTTCCATGCATACATATGGAATCTAAATTGTAAGTTTATACTAAGTTACTCAATTTCACTACTTTTATACAGCTTGAATACACACACACACATAAGTTAACATAATGAAATAATACAATAAGTCATATAATAATACAATAAGTCATATAATAATAATAATCTATAATAAAGTCATATATATATAACAGCATGTATATATGTATATGTGTGTATTTTTGAACTGTGTGTAATTTTAATTACCTAATTTATAAAATAAAATTTTATTATATAATATATTATGTTTACAGATTATACAGTTGACGACGGCTTTACAACAATTGAAACCTGCAGAATACATTGTATTACATGGTATGAAGGGATTTGGAAAATCAAGTCTAACTGCTAATAGTCTTCAAGATAAAAGATTACCGAAAAATGTATTTTCTGTATGTTTTTTTCGTTATTAGGCGCCCTTAATAATTTAATATTATATTTTGCATACAAATTATTTTTCCTTTATTTTTATTTTAGAATCAAATTTATTGGATTAAATTTACATGCGATCGTTCAATCGATGACGAAATACTAATTCAGTTAAACACGCTCTATCATAACATGAAGAACTTGGCAATACAACCAGAACAATCATTCACTCTGCTGGAGAAAGATTCTTTAATCCGATTTTTTGAAGGTTATTTTTGCCAGCCAGATAATCGCAATGCTCTACTGATTTTAGATGGTGTATCTGATAAAAAGATTGTTAACGCTTTTGATTTTAAATGTAAAACTCTGGTTCTTACTGCTGATATCAATGTCGTAGAAGGAAAAGTATATAAGAAAATAGAGGTATATATTTAGATAATTAGAATATATATTTCATTTTATGATTGTATATATGCGTTAAAGTATATAATTATTTTTAACAAAATGTGCATTGTTTTCAGATGAATGATGGATTTACAGAAACAGAGACATTAGGTTTGTTCGCTAAAGTGCTGGAAATGGACGTGGACAAACTACCTATACAAGCAAAAAGAATTCATGAAGAATGTAAGGGTATGCCATTGCTCATTGCCATGTTTGCTGCGCAATTTGAAGAATTTAAATTTGACATGAAAATGCGCTCTAATAGATGGAAATACTATCTTGAATCCTTGAAAAAGAAGGATGCAAAAAACAAGTATAAGCATTATATAATTTTTAAATATAATTTAATTTCTAACAATATTAATAAAATTATATTGAAATTGTTACAGAGTAATAAGAGAATTTTTTAAGAAACAAGAAACTATTTTTGATATGTGTATTGCACAATTAAAACCAAATTTGAAAGAATATTATAAAAATTTCGCTATTTTTAATGAAGAAGTTAACATAACTTCAAAGGTATAGTAAATTTATAACATTTGTTAATTCATTAGATATGCAATTTACACACAATGCATGAAGATTTACATCAATGTTGTCATTCATAGAGAAGTATGGGTTAAATTAAAATTGTATAGTTTTAAAGAAAATATAAAACTGAAATGAAATGTTTAAGTGAAAGGGTTTTGGACATTTGAAGATGATTCTTTTAATAATTTTTTAAATAGAGATATTTTTTTAAGCGGGATATTACTATATTATTTGCATTGAAAAACAATATGTAGTACATTACATATTGTTTTTGACTGCAAATAATATAATAATATTCCGCTTAAAAAAATATCTCTATTTAAAAAATATCATTAAAAGAATCATCTTCAAATGTTCAAAAGTGTTTTTAAATACAAATAATACAGAAAAATATGTATTGCCATCCTATTATAAAAATAATACATGTTACTATTTAAAAAATCGAAGTTTTGTAAAAAAATATTTTGTAAAAGAATCATGTATAAAAGATCGAAATATTTATTTATTATACATTAATATAAAGAAATATTGAAGTTTTGTTTTAGTGTATGCATTATTTAATGTCAAATTTCCAAAACATTTTTACTTGAAAAAATTTTATTTTATTTACTTTATATCTTCCTTAAAACTATTCCATTTTAACCCATTTCTCTCTACAGATAATCATATTTAAATTATAATTTCATGCTTTCTTTTTTTTCCTCAATTAATAATTTTTAATAACTTTTTTTAGACTCTATCAATTCTCTGGGATGAAGATATATATCAAGTTGACGAACTGATGCTTGATTTGTGCCATAAATCTCTTGCAGCCAAAAAATGGAATGAGGACTTGAAAAGTTATATTTATGGCATACACGATTTATTGTTATGTCACCTAAGAACAAAACTAACGCAAGAAGAATTAAGACAGATGCATATATCTGCTATTGAAAAATATCGCAAACATTGCGATTACGATTTTTCAAAATTGCCAGATGATAATTATATTTATTCCTATATTGGCCATCATTTGGAAGAAGCAGAGTTGTTTAACGAGTTTCCGAAACTTTATTTGGACTTTGGTTTCATTCAAGCTAAAATAATTCATTCAGGTTTAACAGACCTATTGTTGGATTTGAAAAAATACAGAGGACATATTATATATTTCGATAATAGAACACAACTCAATGATATCGAAAAATTTCTCCAAGAACAAGCACATATTATAATAGAACATAGACGAAAGAAATGCTTGGATATAATTCAAATTGCAATGAACTATCCATATGAAGGATACGTTATGCAAACTGCCAAACAACTAGCTATGACAAAAGGGCAATACCTGTATTTATCTCATCATAAAAACCTTGAACATGTGAATACATCCTTAACTCACGAACTACCAATGGACATCTGCACGTCAGTTTTCACAGACTATTCTAATTGGATTTTGATTGGGACCAAATCGGGTAAAATAATCTTGTGGAATTGCAAAAACAATGAGCAACAAGTTTTTAACGGTCATAACCATGAAGATTCAATTAAAAAACTTATTGTATCTACGAATGGTGATTGCTTCTTATCATTAAGCAGTGCTGGTATAATAAAGCTATTTCCTCTTCATTTGAATGATGAATTAGAATCTAATGATCACAATACACACTTGGAAAGCCCACGACAAAAACAAAGTTCCTGGTCTAACATTTTTAAAAATAATAATGATTTAGACGATAGTGTGGTAAAATTCTCGATCAAAGATGAAATGGTATTGGACATGGCATTTGGATACAACGAGCAATATGTTGTTGCATGCACTAATAAATCAAGAATTCAGGTATTTGTTATATTAATGTAATAAATATTTCAATCTTCCTTTTTCTTTTTTTATTTATTGATATATTTCAAAATATTCGTTTTCTTCAAAATACATACAATAAATAAAGAGAGAGAAAAAAGGGAGATATATTTTTAATAAATATTTGAATCTCCCTTTTTCTTTTTTTTTTTTTTTATTGATACATTTCAAAATATTTGTTTTCTTCAAAATACATACAATAAATAAAGAGAGAGAAAAAAGGGAGATATATTTTTAATAAATATATGAATCTTCCTTTTTCTTTTTTTATTTATTAATATATTTCAAAATATTTGTTTCCTTCAAAATACATATAATAAATAAAGAAAGAGAAAAAAGGAAGATATTGCCTTTTCTTTCCTGCACTCCAATTACTATGCTTTAGTTCTTACTTGCCAATTTTACTATTTCATAATTATAATATGTACAATATATTATTCATTTTTTTTTTTCTCTCTATGATGTCTTGTACATTTTTTTTTAGATGTGGAATCGAAAGGGGGAACTTGTTTTTACTGAAGAAAAAAAAGAGCCCACGTAAGTATAATTGTACATATAAATGATAATGTGTATATATATGTGTTAGTATAACATAATACAGCATGCATTTATTACAGGGAAATTATAACGAAAATAACATTTACGGCTGAATGTTCGTTATTACATATAATGGACGAATCAAAGATGTCTTTTTCTGTATATACAAACTGCAATAATTACGCTAGTTATCGATATCTCGCCTGTTTCAATCCTTGTCTGTTGCGATCAACAGACAAAAAGGTCATCTTTTTTCATCATATACCTAAAAAAGATAACTGGTTGATGATCGTTACCGAAAAGCAAGCTCTACATGTAAAATGGTGTTGGGATGGGTACAACGTGCACTCTTTCGACAAACAAAGAAAGGTTTGCATTGAAAATGGACCTGTAACTTATGTTTGTGCAACTATAACTTATGATGGTGAATATATGATTACGGCTGACTCTGCGGGTTATATAAATGTATGGCAAACCTCAGGTGGAGACCCAATTATCGCTATTTACAAAAGTCGTGTCACATCTTTAGACACTTATCATTTAGAAGAAGAAGGCTGTCACATTGTACGTATTATTCTTTATTATTAATTAATTAATATATTTATAAGATTTGTTATTTAAAAGATTAATTAAATTTGTAAGATTGTTTGAAATGATGGGGTAATTTCTTTTTTTTCTTTCAGATATGTGGAAACGGGAAGAGATCATTTTACAAATGGAAATTTCCAACACAGGAATTGAACAAAAAACCAGGGTAATACGTTTGAACATTATTTTTACACTACTTTCTCTTATACATCTACACTTTATTTTTTAAACCTAAATCTTCTAACATCATTTCTTTTGTTCAATTGCAGGAAATATTCATTTGATGCAATAGTTAAGCCTTATGACCAAAGAGACATTATAGTCAAGGAAAGCCAGTTAAAGAAAATAATCATCTCATATGGGGAAGAAACAATAGAACTTGACTCAAATGGAAAAATAGTAAACTTACAACTTTCTTCTGATGGAAAGGAAGTTGTATATGTCACAGGAAAAAACCTTATGGTATATAACATAACAACCAGGACGTCCAGTTTTATTTTGAATCTGGAAAAAGTAAACATATTTCTGAAGATTATAAACGTCTGTAATTCCAATATAATAATGTGTGAGCAAAATGATAATGATATATCGGTAAGTTCCTAATTCAATTACCTTACAATATAAATATTCAAAATATTTTAAATATTAATACTTTTATTAATACTTCAATAGATGTGGCAACATACTAATCTGATAGGAACGATACCTGCAACTATGATCGATAGATCTAGAAATATAACTGCAAGACTAATCAATATTCACAAATTAATGGACAATCATGTGGCAATAATAACACAAACTGACATAAAAATAATTCAGTTTAATTTATGCACTGAAACTTGGAAATTAACAAGCATCACTAAATTTCATCTATCTTCACATATTTCATTTAGTTGTGTTAGTCGCAACAAAATTTACTTGGCGGTCTTAAGTGAAGCGTATGAGTTAGCTTTATATTACTTTTGCAAGAACAAAACAGTATTACCGCCTTATATGGAAATGAATGAAGACCCTTATTTTATTCATCTATTTCCATGGAAAGTAACTTGCTGTGATATTTCGCAAAATGAACAGTTTATCGCCGTTGGAACTGAAAAAGGACAAATTTCTGTAAGTTTCTTTCACGATTTAGCACGACTTGGCTCATTAATTACATGCTTGTATGAATTTAATTTTATCTTTCTTTCGTTTTTAGATTATAGATATAAGAAAACAAATAGAGATCATTCAATTATCTTTCCACAAAGATCCTATTATACAATTGTTTTGGGCTCCGACTACCATAGATGTTTCGATTTTACTATCAGTAACAAATAATGAGTTAGTTTGGTGGAACATTGCTTTAGCAAAGAGCACTATGAAGAGAACTCGAATGGGTATCAGGCATAGCACAAGTACTCCATCATTCAACCTAAATCCATTTGGAACCCTACAAATGCCTAGCAGTCGAAGTATGGATGCCAATATATCTAATTTACAAAACAATGTATTAAATGCAGATATTTCTGCCAACGCCATTCGTACCGTAAGTGAATATTGGACAGACAAAAGAGGCAGAGATCCCGAAATGCCAGAATTATTAGCAGTTGTCGAATTACCACCAAATCCACATACCAAACTACATGTTTCTACAGATTTTACCAAATTCATGACAGTTGATATGTACGGATCTGTTAGTATATTTAAACTCATTGATTATAATAATATTTCAAAAGTATAAGATTATAATAACTCAGAAGTATACAGACTTAATTTTAATATGCAATACTGTAAATATGCAATTATATGTGATAATAGTATTATTGCAGCAAATGTAGATACAAATTTTTAAAAAATACGATTTTCAATGCATTTGTATCTATTGTTATAATTTGAAATATTATGTCGTTATAAGTAAAGTAAAAAAGTAATAAAGTAAAAAAAAGTGATAATATATAATTGCAATATAGATTACAATAAGATACACAAATTAATACGTGTATCTATATTATTTATAATGACACAATATGTATCATATAACTATGTTTTGCATATTACATATGCTTCAGTTTACGTTAGTGACATATATATACATATATCTATTTGTCATATATCAACATCAATATTGCTGCCACATGCATTTATCAGAAAATTAGTACTTATAAATTACTACTTATGTAGTAAAATTCCTTCATAAATGTGCATTTTTTTACAATGGAGCTTTTTCTCGCTCAATATATAAAATATAAGCACTACTGCAATATAATAGAATAATTAGATTGTTAATTATAATTAATATACATATTAATAATAAATTTAATATACCTTTGTGCCATTCATAAAATCTTTTATAAATATATTGCCATATATGAGTGCCAAATATCTTACAGATATATTTTAATCTTTTTGCAAGTTTGCTGACTTTTTATAAATGCTACTTCATTTTTATTAAAGTATTTTAGAAACTTCTCTGAAATTAATAATCCGTATATGATAAGAGTGTTTTCTAAAAATTTTATATTGCTTTTGTATTAATGTTACATTAAAGATGAACATAAGACTGATAAATGTGATGGCTCATCAATTTTACTGGATTCATCCAGTTAAATAATTGCAATGTATATAGCAATTAATAGCATTATATGCACACAATTAATGGTACTAATAATAACTTATAATAATTTATATATATATATAAATTATAATAATTTTATATATATATATATATTGTAATTATATATATAATTACAATATATATATGTATATAATATATTATATATATATATATATATATATATAATTATTTACATAATTAGTTCGAATATAATGATACCATGGTCACAACCGACCTTATTCTTTTATTATAGGATAAAAATAGGGATGTTCCATTGCTTCACGAACAATTAATCTTTCATAATGATCATAGCGTAAAAGTTTATCAAGAGAATCCAAGCTTTCAGATGATACTAGATGCTGATTATCCGAATGTACAAAACGTTCCACATCATTTATGCGAATGTCAAATCTAGAATGTCATTGAAACGAGGATCTCATTCAATATGATACTTGTCAAGCTATTCAATTCCTCAGTCCTAAGAATTTTTGCAATTCGAACTAATTGTATAAATATTAAATATTATAATTTTGTAATTCCATGTGCCTTATATATATACATATATATTATACACAAATATGTCAGATCTTTTTAGTAAAACTGTGTATATGATGTAATTATATTGCTGCCAGTGCAAAGCTACATTGTGCAATCTATCTTTTTTTTATTCAATTGTATTATATTATATATATTTTAATGCTTTTGAAACATAGAGAAAAAGTTTCACTAAATTTATAGTTGCTCAACTATGTAAAATATAAAAAAAATATATCTTTTATCATTAATAAAATTTTATAAGATTTTTTTGTTATTTTTAAAATAACATTTCTATTTATCATTTCTTTCTGTTAATGTTATAAAATGAAGTTTTCAATCTTGTTAAGTTATCATGTCAAGTATTGCACGTATTGATCTTATATATTTTTATTGTATACAGTAAAAAAAAATAATTATATCTCGATAAGAAAATTTTTCTATATCCAAATTATTAAGAAATGTTATTGTATATATAAAATGTTTTCACACATATATCACATATATACTGTATATATAGAATTTTTTCATACATATATCACTTTAATGTCCGTTCGCTTCATCAAAAATTCGCATTTATTGGGGACAGACTGTATAGGGTTAATTTTACAAAATGATGTACTGTATATATATTTATAATGTATTGCGACCACAAATTAAGCGAATTACTTAAAAAAAAAAGAAAAAAAAATATCACAACTAATCAGCTGTACCATCAGTTATATATTTTAATCCTCATTTTTTGAAATCTTCTATTTGTATGTTTTGACAATTACTTTGTATTGTATATTTTAATTATTATTATAAATATATATTGATCGGTAATGATAAAAATTATAGTTATATTAATTATATTATGTTTGTAACATACATGTATATAATTATATTAATTATAATATGTTTATAAAGTCCATATGTGTTTTTTGTGATGCCGATACACATTATACAATAATTTAAGCTGTTTTAAATCATTAACTATGTAAGACATTTTCTTGGATATTTTCCAAAACTATAGTTATACTTTTTCAAATCATATGATCAATGCGGAACAAATACCTTTGTTTTATTAATAGAAAATTTAACCGTCGTAAGAGACGATTTGGCGAACATCCGAGTATCCGATTCGAAACTCTCGGCCAATGTCAGTAAGAGCAAGGTCTTCTGCAAGATCACTCCTTGAAGTATCTCTAGTCACATTTAATATATTTCATACAGATAACTCAGCTATACTTACATCAAGGACATGTACAGTAAATATTTTGTTTATATGTGTTTTATTCTGTATTTCTTATATGATGAAAATATTTTGCAATATTTATGCTCCCAACGAGCGAACGTTTGGAAAAGAAAGACTTTGAAGAGAAGTATTGTTGTCTTTATCCGGCAGTAGATTTATCTGTGCAAATTAGAATGTTTATATTTTTTATTTTGTCTTTTTAAAAATAAGTTTTAAAAATAAGTCCCTAACATAACTTATGGAAGACAGTAGGAAAAGATAATTCTAAGATTTTGTAAATTGTTTCATATATTTATTTTAATTTATTTTTAATTAATTCGAAATAAACAAAAATGATAGTGATATATATATATATTAACAAATTGAAAAAGAAAGATTCTTTGAAAATTAAACTTTGAGAACCGATGACAAAACTACACTTTACAATTAATTTTATAGGTGGAATTTATTTAGAATTAATAGAATTTTAATGTGAAGCTTACAATTAGTTACAAAAATATGTGTTGGAAATGTAATAAATGATAATTTCCAAATTGAACAAAAAAATTATCGTTAAAAGAACATTTGGTGATATTTTTAGAATATCACGTGTGTAAAAGTTAATCTTTGATGCTTGTTTGCTATAATTGGAGAGCTTACTGACTTCTTGCACTATCTTATCATGTCATTCCATTAATTTTTAATAGATTATGTTCTAATTATATATATATATATATATATATATATATATATATATATATATATTGTAACAAACTATAAGCTTTATAAATGGATGATAAAAAAAGATTTATTAATAAAACAAAACATATAATTTGAAAAGAAACGAACTTAAGGAATCAAGTATCAATAGTACAAATCTTGAAAATTTTTGAAACTAAATTAAAAATATGCAGGCAAATATCCGAAATTTTAGATAGCAGTTGGGTTACGAAAAATAATAGAATTTTCCATAAATAAGTAAAAAGTGTACCAATTATTTTTCCAGAAATAAATAAAAATATACCAATGAAAAAACCACTGTAGATACGAAAAGAAATCGATCGAATTCAAACGATAAAAACACAGAAAGATAATACGTGTCGCACGTTAAACGGTAATGAAATTAAAGAATTAAAGATGTCTACGAATGCGAAATTCCAAAATAAATAAACATGATATTTCTGACCTAGAGATAAACGTTGTCTATTCGAATTTTGAAATGGTAATCATTTGATTAATAATCGACAAATAAGAAAAATACAACAATTTAATATCATCTTGCAAATTGAGATTAAATTTTTTTAACGATATATATTTTTAAACTTCTTGTAAAATTGGACATTTCATCGAGAATTTGGAGCTCTCAGTCAAAATTGTGAAAATGTTATTATATTAATTTTAGGACAGTAATTACTGGGCTTTGAATAATAATACAATTTCTTTTTAATATCATTATCTAATATTGGCACACCTATTTTTTACGAAAAATAATTTTTTAAATTATTATTTATTATTAATTTTTTAAATAAATAAAAAATTATTTACGAAAATATAGTTCTTAAATTATCAATTTTTAAAGAAATTTTTAATTAAAAAAATATAATTTGGAAAATTAACTCTATTATAAATTTCTATCAATTTACTAATATCTACAAATTATTTCTATTAATTTTTAAATTGCTTTTTTACTATATTTTTTAAAAATGAAAAATTTTTCAAAAAAATTAAATTCTTCACAGAATTGATTTCTCGTTTATGCATACAAACGATACGAATTTTCGCGTCCATTTTCTCGTTTTTACTAATTTTTATACATTATTTCTATTAATTTCCAAGATGCTTTTTTAACTATACTTTTTACTAATTTCAAAAATTAAATTTTTCAAGAAATTGATCTCTCGTTTATGCGTACATACGAATTTTTGCGTCCGTTTTTCACGTTCCTAATTTTCCATAGTGGGCGCCAATTAAGCGACACCCTGAATATATGTATGTACGCGCCAGACACTTTAAATTTAAACTATCGCGAGCTATGAAATCTGCGACTCTGTGTATCACTTGGAAAATTAGGAACATGAAAATGGACGCAAAATCGTATCGTTCGTATCGTTTGTATGCATAAACGAGAGATCAATATTTTGGAGCATTTAATTTTTTTTGAAAAATTTTTCATTTTTAAAATTAATAAAAAATATACTAAAACAGGAAAACACCTTGAAAATTAATAGAAATAATTTATAGAAATTAGTAAATTAGTAATTTATAGAAATTAATAAGCTAAAAACGAGGAAATGAACGCGAAAATTCATATCATCTGTATGCATGAATAAGAGATCAATTTTTTGGAGCATTTAATTTTTTTGAAAAATTTTTCATTTTTAAAATTAGTAAAAGATATAGTAAAAAAGCACTTTAAAAATTAATAGAAATAATTTCTAGAAATTAGTAAATTAATAGAAATTTATAATTAGAATTAATTTTCCAAATTATATTAATTTTTTTAAAAAGAAGGCGCCAATTAAACGACACCCTGTATACACGCGCGCAAATCCATCGTCGACGGTGAGAAAGGGAGGGGGAAGAGAGAGAGAGAGAAAGAGAGGAGGGAGGAGGAACCAGCAGGGATTCGAGACGAGGTCGAGGGAGGCAGCGAGATCGCGCGAGCGTCATCGCGACCAATCGGCGCACTTTGCGCCTCTCGGCCACAGCGTGCGGATTGCGTTGTCATTGATTCTCGGTCGCGTGGAAATTTCACGATCATCCGATTTTTCACGACCAAGTTATCGATCCGCGTATCTCTCGTATTCGAGGAGACCATCGATCGAGCCATGTCGGTAATCTACAGGAATTCGATGAACGCCATCGGCAAGTTCGTGCCCGAAGGACTGCAGCCTCTGTGGAAACATCCAGCTGGTCAGTACAGTGATCGATCAGGTGGCACGTGTGCCTGGGTGCGAGAGAGAAAGAGAGAAACGGAGCGAGAGAGAGAGAGAGAAAGAGAGAAATGAAGAGTGACGTGTGTTTACTGAATAATAAATAATATTTCCCTCTCTTGGAGATTGCGTTCAAATCGCCCACCCTGTATATCTTTGTTATTTCTTCGATCGATCTCGGGGCGACGATTGGTGATTTTTTTTTTAATTTCCGCGCAAAGTGTGTTCTTTTTTTTCCCTCGCAAAATAATAATAGACGCGGAAAGGTTGCTCTGATTAATCGGCGATTTTATCCTCGAGCTTATCCTCATCGATCAGAAACGCAAATGTTTCTTCCCGCATCTTATTATCGCGTAAGACTTGCGTAAGATCGTAAAAGGCGACACTCGCGTACAATTGCCTTTCCCCAAGGTCGCGTTCCTAAATTAGGTCTTGCATATCTCGCTGTGGATTTTAATAAATTTCACGTCGCGCGAGTTAACTTTCTACGCACGTCATTCATGCGAATTCACATTTTCCATTACGAATTTTATCCCATACAGCACGGAAAATTGCAGCAATATTGCAGAAATATTGTAATGTTACAACAAAATATTAATAATATTGCTGCAATATTCTGTGTAGCGATTAATACAACAATAATAATTGTAATTTTATTGTAATGTTACAATATTAATAATAACAAATTGTAATGTAAACATATTACAAATACAACATATAACAAATGTAACAATATTAATAATAACAAATTGTATAAATAAATATATATATATAAAATAATAATATTAATATTAATATTAAATTAATATATATTAATAACAAAATTTAATAACAAATAAATATTAATAATATTGCTACAATATTCTGTTTGTAGCCTTCTGCAATTTGTTATTAATAATATATTTATTTATACATTAATTTAATATTAATATTAATATTATTATATATATATATATATATATATATATTTATATATTAATATTATATATTAATATTTATATATAATATTATATATGTTTATATAATATTTATATGTATATATTAATATTTATATATTAATATTAATATTATTATTTTATATATTAATTTGTTATTAATAATATTAATAATATTGCTGCAATATTCTGTGCTGTATGGGATCGATTTTACCAAGGATTTTACGATATTATCAACCTGAAGAGTACTCGAAAACGTTTGATATCAAGATATAAGGGTGCTTGAAAATATTTAAGTGAAGATACGAAGATATTTAATATATATCCACGATATCAGATTCAGTGTACAATTCACAGATATTAATTATAAATTTATTATTAATACAGATGGAGTAGCAATAATACTAATTGATGGAAGATATTATTTGTATGAAAAGGAGATAGATTAGATTGTAGATGTAGATAGATTAAATTAGATTAAAGTTAAATTAAGTAAATTAAGATTAAATTGGAGGAATGGAAATTGCATTTTTTTTAAACATGCACTTCATGAAGTCACGAATCCACGATTTGATATTTCATGTTCACTTGTTCTATTTTCCGCCAAAATGTTGGCAAAACGGTCGCACCTTCACCGAATTACAACATGAATGAAGGCAAGGCCGTTGCGCAGCTTCGGGCTTGTGCTAAAGCTATTCTCTAACGAATTTACTCGCGCTATTAGAGCGGAAGCTCGGATAAATAGAGCGAATAGGGTCGATCAGCTCGCGAAAATGTGTTGTCGCATTGATTATCAATGGCTGTTTAATTCCTGGAAAAATATGGAAAAGGTTGGAGATTTTTAAGGATTACCCTTGTCCCTGAAAGAATCAAGGAATTCTTGTGGAATTTTACCGGGACAAGTTTTTTAAGAAATTTCTTTCTTTAAAGAGAATTTAAAAAAGAAATTTTAAGAATTAAAAGAAATTTCTTAAGAAATTCCCAGAGGGTTAAAGTTTTCTGAATATTTTTAAAAGAAATTTAAAAGAATTAAAAAGATTTTTTGTAAAAAATTCCTAAGATCGCAATAAATTAAAAGATAAGGATTCTTTCCTTTTGATAATTTCGTTATTACAATTGTAAATGATGACAATTGCAAATTATTTATGTGTTTAAAATATATTATATTTATATTTTTAATGTCTTAATAAAATATTAAATATACAGTACTTATTCTTTATTGTAATCTTTAGTGACAAAAAAAATGAAAATATAATGCAAATGAAAAAATGTTTATCTCTATTTAATTTTTTTTAACAGTCATTTTATTTTTAAGTTTAATATTTGAAAACATTAGAAAACGTATATAATAATGAATTCTGCTTTAAAAAATTGTACCAGAAAATTTTTAAATATTCTCTTTATCTGGAATTTCGAATAAAATATTTAAAAAATATTTAAAAAATATTTAAAAAAATATTTGAAATATTTAAAAATATTTAAAAAATCAGGAAATATTAAGGAAATTTTTTTACACAAGATTTGAGTGTGGATATCTATTATTACATTTATATGGAATATTATGGAATATTATAGATATATTTTTCTACATTTATTTATTTTATTTATCTTTTATTTTAAACTAAAATAGCTTTACGAGAATCTTTAAAGAATTGTATGCAAGAGATAATTGAGAGGAAAATGTGTTGCAGGCATGAAACATTTAGCTAATGCACTGTAGATTATAAGAGCGTCATAATATTCGTCATAATATTCTTCGTAATTTATGTTAATTACCATATCCTTTTTAGGTCCGCAGACCATCTTCTTTTGGGCACCAGTCTTCAAATGGGTCAGTAAAAATGTCTATCTTTTTAATATATCAATTTTATTGACTCGTTGTAATAAATTAACTAATAAACATCGAGATAATCTAAATTTAAACAGTATTACATTACAACAGTGCATTGCACACATTATTAACAGTGTTATATAAATATAAATTATTGTGATTTTCGAATAATACTTCAATTTTTTTTCTTTCAGTCTTTAAAAAAATTTATTCTCTAATTTGATTTAAAAAAAGTGTTACAAGAATGTCGTATGATTGAATAATGCTATGCCTGCATATGATTAATATACCAATCTTGCTTTTGCAAGGCAATTGCATAATGTAATGTTGGAAAGACATATATATCTACCAGAAATAAATCTAAATGCTGTGTTTATTCATACTGTAACGATTTCTTTTATAATTTGATAATTTTATAACAATTGTAAAAAATATATATTATATATTTAAATATAAAATTGTATATATTATATATTAAAGTCTCTCTCTTCTCTCTAATATATAATACAAAATAAAATAATATATAATTTATTACATAAAACAAGTATTTTATTTTTGAATGAAAATATGCGTTTTATTAATATTCAATCTTGTTGAACATTTTATTTCAATGACGAATGACATTTCATAAAATGTCGCGATAAATTAAAATAATATAAATGTAAAACTTGACACATCAACTGTGAGTCAGATTATTCGATTGCCGCGTCTCGCTATTTATATCTGTACACATTGATAACTTTGTGATAAAAATAATTCTTATTTATGTGCATTTTCCAATTTGTAAAAAAACAAAAATAAATAAAATTCAAAGGGAAACGCGATCAAACTCAAAACGAATACGCTACATCATAATGCTTAAGGTTCGCTATTTTTTTGAAAGTAAAATAAAAATGCAATAAAAAAAATAAAATTATAAAAAAATGAATAAAAAAAATATTATTCAAATTATTCTTTTCTGCAGGGGCTCGTAGTTGCCGGTCTTGGTGATCTGCGAAGACCAGCGGAAAAGATCTCCGTCAGTCAATCTGGTGCTTTGGGGATCACGGGGTTGATCTGGACCAGATATTCCTTAGTTATTATCCCAAGAAATTGGGGTCTCTTTAGTGTTAATCTCTTTGTCGCGTTTACGGCTATATACCAAATAACGAGAGCCTTAAGGTGAGTAAACGTAATATCTCGACACATTTTCGCTATCTGTAAATGTTTGATAAATTCGCCTTCCTTGAAATCTCTGTTTCGGGAGTTTCATATTAAGCACTATAAAAGTTTTATACAAGTAGAGAGATGTAAAAAAAAATCGATTTTTTTTCTAATAGGAAACAAACGTTGAAGAAAAAACATGTTTTTCATTATAAAAATAAATTTCTTTTTCATTATTTTTTTAAATATAATATTATTCTTCTTCATATTTTGTTGTTAATTCGAAAGTTCTTATATTTTTAATTTATCTTTTTTCAAAAGTTTAACGAATTAATAAGTCTTTTGCAGCAAATTATATCAAACACGCCCATGATTCGGATAATTTTTAATTAAATACATAACAAAAAAAATTTTTATTATGCATCTAATTAAAAATTATTCGAATCGTATTTGATATCACTTTAATCTCTCCCAACAATCGTATTAAAATTATTTTCGAAAAAAAATAAATCGAAAACTTTAGCTTTTTTTATTATATTAAAATAATGATTAAAATAATTTAAAAAAATTTTTTAAAATTACAAATTGTGTCTTTATATCTAATAAAAATATTTATATAATTAAAAATAATAATTACATCACTAAAAAATTTAGAAAATTAAAAACAATGAAATAATTAACTTGCAAATATTAAACAGTTAAAAAAAATTTGAAAAAAATAGCTTGTATAAAAATCGTATCATAAAGATCGTATTTTATAAAGATTTTATAAAGCTTTTTTTTATTTACATCTCTAATAGATATCATGTTTTTTGAACACTTTTTATTATTCCTGATTCGTTTTCATCTTTTAATAAGTCTTATATATGTAGAAATGAGATTATTCTCGATTATTTTTACACGTTTCTGTAAAACTTTTAGCTCTGCTGAAGGAATTAATTAAATAAGCGAATCTTTGCCAACTTTTTGTTTTCTTTGTATTTCGTTTGCTCGTAACTTCTTGCATTATTTATATTGTTTAATGTCACAGAACACGTGTTTCAATATCGTTTACTTCTTATTCTGATGGAATCAATATTTGTTTCAGGTATCAATATCAACAAGCACCTCTGGAGGATGCAAAGGCAACTTCATCAGCTCACTGATGATAAATATACTAGATATACATTCCTAGGGGACGAAACTAAGAACATATTTATTTCTTCGTGTTTTGCGAAACGTTCACGTTATTATTTAAGTGGTTGAAACGGGTAGAGTAGTGTATCTGACCAATATATCTTAATGTCGAACAAGAAAATGGAAAGATAATCGTCAAGTTATATTTAAACTTTTTAAAACCATATATACGTATATACACTAGCGGATCCTGACAACGATAATGGGAGGGAGGAGGGGGTTCTGCAAAATTATTTGATTTAATATTTTTGATTTCATGCTTAGCTTTATTTTTCTTTACGTATACTTTTTAAGCGGATTCAGCAAAATTAATTTCTTTTAATTTGCAAGAGGGGGTTTTAATCCCCACTCCCTCTTAGGATCCGCCGTGCGTATATACAGGGTGGTCCTGAACGTTCCACCTAGACTTTGAGATCTTATAGGAAATTTAATTCTGAACAAAAAATTTCCTATAAACATGGGTCGAAAAATCCTTCTTGAAGAAGTGATCGCTCAAAAACCTCTGATGAAGGAAGAGCAAAAAGTGAAAAGAAAATGAAATAAAAAGAAAATGAAACTAAATAAATTTCTTGAAAAAAACGATAAAAATAAAAAATAAAAATCTTTTTCTTTTATGAAAATAAAATTTTTTTTTAACTAACTTATTTTATTTTCATAAAAGAAAAAGATTTTTATTTTTTATTTTTATCGTTTTTTTCAAGAAATTTATTTAGTTTCATTTTCTTTTCACTTTTTGCTCTTTCTTCAGAGGTTTTTGAGCGATAACTTCTTAAGGAAGCATTTTTCGACCCATGTTTATACGAAATTTTTTGTTCAGAATTAAATTTCCTATAAGATCTCAAAATCTCTGGCTAGAACGTTTGGGGCCACCCTGTGTAGATATACATATATAGAGTGCGTATATATATATATATATATATATATATATATATATATATACATATATATAATATATAATTGCGTCTCAAGACACAGATCTGTCAGCGATCAGGCGTTATAGACACATAATTATTTTTAAATTATTTCTAAATAGGGCGAATTAAAATATCGCCTGGAATAACGGAAAAGGACAATATTCTAAAATCTAAAAAAAAATATCTAAATTGATCTGAAGTAAAAATCTGACATCTGATTAACGTTTAATTGGCATCGTTTTCGTTACAAGTTTTACGTAATGTCGATTAAGTTTTTTGGGTGCCAAACTGTGATACGTATGACTTGGTCTTAATATTACGTGATAAATCAATATTGTACGGTTAGATTAAGTATAACCACGATCGACCGAAGTCTTGCCAAGTCTCACAAGTAACGGACATTGCAAATTCGACCACCATCGTGTTACCACATACTATTGGTCTCATCGATTGTACATACATACACGTGTCCTCGACCGTCACGCATCACGTGCGTCTTATCTCGCGACATAAGGTGCTTCCGCACGACATATCGACGCTACACGATAATTTAGAGGCGAGCGGATGAATGTACAAATGTGTAAATCTCACTTATTATTGTTGTAACTGCCTCGCTCTGATCAGTTGAAATAAATTACGGATATTTTTAATATCATTGTGTTCTGAAATGTGTAGCGAGCTATCGCACAAGTTTAGCACGACATGCGTTAAACTTGTAAAATATTGAATTGCAAGTATTGGATAACGGTAAGTTGTTAGACGTTTGTTGATGTTTCCGCTCTTATCACACCTTTTAAGTCGTAAAAGGATCGCGTGCTAGATATGCTTTAATGACAGGAATAATGCCCGTTAACGTCTATTTATGTCTTCTGAACGTTGAACATACAGATATTTCACCTCACCGATCAAGGTAGACATTATTCTGTTTGATTAATGTATTCTATGACGCTTCCGCGACGACAATCTCATGGATACAATAAAGATTCCGATTCAATAATTCTAAAGTTTATAAATTTGTATCATTAATCATTTTGTAATATCAATTTTTACAAAATTTAAGCTCTAGATCGAGATATGGATATGAGTTGGTGGTTATCGGTATATTATTTATACGTATGTTAATAATTTATTATTCGTCTTGTGACAAAATTAGAATTGGAACTCTTTGATTTAGAAAATGAAAATTTGTTTTCATAAAATATAATATAATCATATATATAATCATAGCGATAATGATTTTTGAAATTTTATAATATAATCATATATATAATCATAGCGATAATGATTTTTGATCATATATATATATAATGTAAAGCAAATTATTACATTATTGCATTATTGTTATTAGTTATTAAATTAAATTTTTTTAATAAAAAGGAATATCGGATTAGGAATAAAGGATTTCAAAATTTACTTTTAAAGATTATCTTTATGAAAAAAATTCAAATATATATTTTATTTATATATTTATTTTTATATTTTTTATGTTGAAAAAAATAAATGATTTATTTTTACTATATATCAAGATATGATATATACATATATATATATATAATATATACAGAATGTGCCAAAGTTTTTTAAATGATTAAATTTTCTTAGTATATTCTATGAAAAATAAAAAGTATATATAAATATTGATTTACAAGAATCATAAGTTATTCATTTGTAATTAAAATTAATTTTTTGATTATTAATTTATCGTGCATTTATTATCATGTTATTGAAAAAAATATATTTAATTATATGTTTCAATATCATATCATTTTTTAATAGAAATTTGACATTGTTGAGAGATTGAATTTTAATACTTTATGGATTTCATGTTTACCTTGTTTTAACTTATATGAATGCCAAACTATTAATTTCCTCTTATTTATTTAATAATGTCATATAATTAAAAAGATATATTAGTTATATAAAATTATATATTTTCTTCTACACATTTTATATATACTTACGCCACGTATATATACATATATATTTATATATACAATATGATTACATATGGGCTTTATTTCTGGAATTAACAGCTCGTATATGTTTAATATATTTTTATTACAATTTTCTAATAAAATGTTTTCGAACTAATATTTATACATATAACATTTTTTTCTTGCTTTTCCATAAAACATACAGACAAAATTTGATCATTTAATTTTGGAACTTTCTGTATATACAGAGTGTTTCAGACCACCCGTACCACCCATTTAAAAACTAAAGAAGTGGTTATTTCAAAAAAGTAATAAAACATTTTTTTTATAAATCAGGTGCGCTCTATCGAATGGTGATATTTTCAACTTCTGGTTCCGGCCGGAAATAGGTGATTCAGATCGGAAGTGCATTTTTTAAATGGAACTCCCTATTTTTCATTGCATATTCTTGTAGCTTACCTCGAGAGCTTTTCAAAACATTATAATAAATTATTTTTCCATGAAGTACTTTTCCATTTGTGAGACTTGAAATCATTTCTGAATTTTACATAAAATATTTTGTAAAATATTCATTTTTCGATTATTTTATCTTAATACTTTTATGTACAAAATAATGAGAGGAATCAATTGATGTAAAGAAAACATACAGTTGTTTTTAAGAAAAAATATGGAACTATTAATTGCAAATTACATATCTTTTCTTAGAAACAATTATGTGTTTTCTTTACACCAATTGATACCTCTCATTATTTTGTACATAAAAGTAAAATAATCAAGGTAAAATAATCAAAAAATGAATATTTTACAAGATATTTTATCGTTTATGTAAAATTAAGAAATAATTTCAAGCCTCGTAATTCGAAAAGTACTTTATGGAAAAATAATTTATTATAGTGTTTTGGAAAGTTCTCGAGGTAAGCTACAAGAATATGTAATCAAAAATAGGGGGTTCCATTTAAAAAAATGCATTTCCGGTCTGAATCGCCTATTTCCGGCCGGAGCCAGAAGTTGAAAATATCACCATTCGACAGAGCGCACTCGATTTATAAAGAAAATGTTTTTACTTTTTTGAAATAACCACTTCTCTAATTTTTAAATGAATGGTACGCGTGGTCTGAAACACCCTGTATACTCTGAATATTATTTAGTATAAGAAATACATACTCTATACATGTCAATATATCTCTATTATCATCCATAATAAAAGCGATCAAATTTTAATCGGCAGAATTATGTATATATTACATGCATATATTAAATACAGCTCTCGTTAAATTTCGCTTTTTGTGTTTACGAAATGTTAAATTTTCCAGCAGAGTCATCTTGAATACCAGAATCTGCCTTCGACTCGAAATCGAAATTATCATCAATCATTCCAAGATCCGAAAAAATCACGCGACACATCATCGCCCCTCGCGAATATTATCCCCGCAGCATTGTTATTCCATCGCAGCAACATTGCAATATTACCGCAATATCGCTGCAATGTAACAACAACGGTCTCCTCGACGGTTGTTACTCCTCGCGAGATGTAATTGACGCTCGGAAAGTCGGCGGGGCGCGCGCGCGAATCGATGAGCGGCGCGGCTCTAGTTCGCCGAGCGGCCGCGCAAGGCCGCGCCGCCCGGCGCCACCGTCGCCGCCGCCGGACGGTGCGCCGTGCGAGCTGCGCGGCGCGCACGTGCGACTTACGCAGTTCGTGGTTGCGCTGTCGCGAGGGCGGACGAGATAACGCCGTATCTCCGTCACTCCGGTCCCGCGAGGGCTTCGGCGATATTCGCGTTCGATTCCGCCGAGTACTCGAGCGAGAAACGTCGAGAGGAAGCGGGGGAAAGCGAGAGAGGGATATAAATCTACCGGGGAGGAAGAGAGATCGAGAGGGAGAGGTGCAAACTCCAGGAGCGAGCTCGTTGACGTACGTCGCAAGATGTTTTCCGGCTTGACGAATCAGGTGTCCAATTGGATGGGGAAGAAGCCCGAGAACGGCGGCGAGGAGACGGCCGAGCAGAAGCCTCCGGTCGCCTCCCCGGAAGCCGAGAGCGCCGTGGATCTCGAGAAAAAGAACAACACCAGGTACGCCGTCCCCTGTTATCTACCATAACCTGCGCTATCATTGCTCCGAAACGGTTCCAGTCCGTTGACCCGTCCCGCGAAATGTCAGCCGCGCGAGATCGATCCTCTCGAGCCGGATTACGTTGACAGGCTACAGCATCCTTCGAACGAGAGATGCGCGAAGCTCGACTCCCGATTTTCACGAAAAATCGTCAATTGGCGCGTTTCAATCATTGCGAGCGAAGTGAGTCGCTTTCGAGATTCGATCTCTCGGCAGAGATCGCGAGCTGGCATGAAAGGTACCCTTAGAGTGGATTTTCACTTGACGCTCATTTTTAGCGTCGAAAGACATCATGTGATCGAAAAATGACGAATTGGTATCTTTATTTTTAGTCGCATGATGTTTTTTGACGCTAAAAAACGAGTGTCAAGTGAAAATCCATCCTTAGGGTGGGTTTTCACTTAACGCTCGACGCTCATTTTTAGCGTCGAAAGACATCATGTGATCGAAAAATGACGAATTGGTATCTTTATTTTTAGTCGCATGATGTTTTTTGACATTAAAAAACGAGTGTCAAGTGAAAATCCTCCCTTAGGGTGGATTTTCACTTCACGCTCGACGCTTATTTTTCAGCGTCGAGAGACACGACGTGACTGAAAATAAAGATACCAATTTGACAGTTCTTTGATCGTACGTCTTTTGACGCTGGAAAATGAGCGTCGAGCGCCAAATGAAAATTTGCCTTAAACTTTTCGTCTCTCAATCGCCGTTGAAAAGCGGTGGATGCATTCTCGAGATTAGATCAATAACGCTCGCGACTTACGTAAAGAGTAGCGCGACCGATATCTCAGATTATTCCTCGTGCATTATTTCGTGAAATTTTCCTTCTTAGAAATGCAGAGAAATTCTACGATCATTTTTTATTTTTTTTTTTTACCTCAGGAAATGGGAAGTTCGAATTTTAACGTCTCTTGTCATATTTTTAGATGTAAGTTGCAATAGCATATACGTCTAATTGTAACAAACGTAGTTTCTCACACACGTAACAATCCTGAGACTCATACTCGTTATAATATACAGAGTGTCCCGAATTTAAATGTCAAGACTTCGGAAGCGTGGATAATCGATAAATTATGAAAAAGGGATTTTTTTTCCTATAGATTTGCTTGTTTTTCATTTTGAAGAAAATTGTAAAACGAAAAGTTTTCACTTTTTCACTTATTTATTTATATTTTTATTTATATTTATTTATATTTTTTCACTTATTTCTTTATATTTATTTCTTTTTCGTTACTGCCTTAATGAAAGTATTATTCAAACGTACATAACCATTACACTCTCAAGTCAAGTAAAAGCAAAATAAGGTAAACAGGATATGACAATAGTTCTGCATTGTTGTGCATTTATTTACAATTTTACTTTAGGAGGATTTTAATTCACTCTCTTTTTTTTAATTCCATGTCGAACAACTTTTATCTCACGGCACTTTTCGAAAAACTTGATAATTTGTTTGTTGTTTTACATTTTTTTAGAAAACTTTTTCGTTTGTTCTTTTTTTCGATTTCTTCGAAACGAAGCAAAAACGAACAAATTTCTAAAAGATTTTTTCTCTTCGATCCCTCTTGCACTCTCAAAGTCGACATTTAAATTCGGCACACCTTATGTATCTTTCCAATGTTAATTGTCTCGTTGGACTTTAATTGCCAACTTATAATTTTACGGTTGTGTAGAATAATTATGAGACATGATTTTTAGGTCCATAAAATATTTGATGATGCTGTGATATAAAGTAAACTTTATTTCTATTAATACGTGTGCGTAGTTAATTTCATAGTTTGATGCATATTTAAAAGCATTCACGGTGTAATATGCGTTGACGCATATTAATAGTCGTTGTATATATTATACAGATCGTTGTATATATTATACAGGGTGGCCCCGACCAGACTTCCAACCAGATTTTGAGATTTTATAGGAAATTTAATTCTGAATAAAAAATTTTGTATAAACATGGGTCGAAAAATGCTTCCTTAAGAAGTAATCGCTCAAAAACCTCTGATGAAGGAAGAGCAAAAAGTGAAAAGAAAATGAAATAAACAGAAAATGAAATGAAAAGAAAATGAAATAAACAGAAACTAAATAAATTTCTTGAAAAAAAATTTCTTGATAAAAATAAAAAATAAAAATCTTTTTCTTTTATGAAAATAAAATAAAAGTTAGTTAAAAAAAATTATTTTATAAAGTAAACTCTATTTAAAATTAATCGAAGAATGTGGTTTTGTTAAAATTTTATTTCTACAAAGCTTAGTTTACGAATTTTCAATCACTTATAATTCGAAAATTAGTGCCTCGACATTTTTTTTTGTTGAGGAAAAATCGTCTTCAGATGATCCCAGGAATCTGTCTTTGAAAGATTTATTATGAGTTTTGAGACACCCTGTATATTTATTTTGTGAATAGTACAAATTTTGAAAAATTAAAATTTTAAAAAATAAAATACACACAAATAGAAATATAATAAATCAGATTCAGGAATTTTTTTTTAGATGTTTCGATCCTCGACTAAAGTATTTTTTATTGAAACTACAATTTTATACAATTTAACTGACCATTTAATATTGATACATCCTTATATTTTTATTGAAGAAGATTTATTTGAAGATCGAAATATCTAAGAATTTTGTTTATTATTTTTTATTATTATTTATTTTAATCCAGTTTTAAAAATTTCCGAGTTTGTCCTATTACAATGTAAGATAAATATATCCCCAGTTTGCTCCTTTTCGAATTAAATTTCGAGAAAAAATATTACCTCGAACTGTAATAAAAAATTTTCTAATTTTTCGAGAAATTCTCCTTTTTTTCGTATTTTAAATAACAAATCAATAATGACTCAAAGAATGGAATGTGTTTCTCAGACGATAATATCATACATAACACACATGTGGCCTTCGTAATAAGCAACAATAAAATGTTCGTATGCCATTCTGTGATTTTTCAACGACACCGCAACGTCGAAACGATCCTTTGTTTATCGCGAATTGATGCGTGCGTCGCGAATGTAGTACCTGTCAAATGTCAATACACAAAGCGACTCGTGCATTTGCGCGAAATCAACGTCCGCGTGTTCGACGTTCACCTGGCGAATACACTGGAATTTACGAAATGGAAACCGCGATGTGCGTGTTCGGTAATAATGACGTTCGTTCGCACGTGACGTTATCGAGTTTTGTTCGCGATAGAAATTTAATCGAAACTATGTCATATAAATGGAGTTTTTATATTTATTATTTTATTATTTTATTATTATTTTATTATTATTTTTTTTATATTTATTATTTTATTATTATTTTATTATTATTATTATTTTTATATTTATTATTTTATTATTTTATTATTATTTTATTATTATTATTTTTTTATATTTATTATTTTATTATTATTTTATTATTATTATTTTTTATATTTATTATTTTATTATTTTATTATTATTGTAATTCAGAATGCTATTCCTATTTCCTGAAAAATTAAGAATTCTCAGGGATTTCTTTTATATATGAAAAAAATCAGGTAATTATGAAATTTTACTGATGTTCAGGGATATTAAAAAAAATTCTTTCGTTGACAATTTTGCTCCCACATTGTAAACAATCAGCAAATCAAATAAATTAAATTTTTAAAAAATTTTGAACATTGTAAATATATATCTGTCTTTTTGTTTAAATAGTTTTTGTTTACACAATTTTTGTTTACATAATTTCTGTTTACAAAAATTTCCGTACATAATTTAACGTCTTGAAATGTCAAATTAATGAATATACAGTACATGTCATTTATTGTAATTTTTAGTGATAAAAGAATGAAAATATTGTAAAAGTGAAAAATGTCCATCTTATGCGTGCTATTTAGTTTTTCTTTAATATATTTACAAACTTAAAAACGCTCTGCGTTTTCTTCCTTGTATGAATAAAAATGTATACACAATATACAATGTGTATACAATAAAAAAAAATTATTTTAAAAAGTTGCACTAAAAAAGTTTTTAAAATATATATTTTCTTTATTGAAATTTTGGACAAAGATCAGGGAATTTTCGCGGAATTTCTTTATGAAAATTAACTAGACATCCTGTCTAATTTCTTAAAAAAAAATATTTGTGTTTAAAATAAGTATCTGCACATTATCACTTATTATTATATAATTAAATTATTTATACATCATTATATGTACCAATTAAATTATATTATTGTGAGTTTATGTCTCGTAATGCATTTCGGAATTCTCATTAATATATTCCGGAGATTCATAAGCATAATTAGTACCGCTGAGGATTTTGTCTCGCGTTGCTGCAAGTCTTTTGTGTAATAATTAGTCGCTTTGCTATAAGACGATGCATGTAAATCACATTCATGTTCCTCCGAGATTGTAAACTTTTGGCCGAGTAAGAAAGTTTTTAAACGAGACAAACTTTTATATCCCTGAATTTTGGGAAACGATTAAAAGGATCGCGTTTGTAATTCTATCTAAGCTATTGCGCTTTAATTTGATTTCCTCGCGTTAATCGATCGATTTTATATGTCTATTTGTGATTTTTATTGTATTTTCTTTTTTTTTAAATATTATCAGACGTACATTTTACAATATTCTTGAAACGGAAATGACATTATACAAACAGATTATGTTTATTCGGTCTCATTGTTTACATTATTATTAAGATTGCATGAGATATCAATCTTGATATTGTTTTGTCTTGTGAAATTTAAGAAAAGCTTAAAATAATATTTTTGATTTTCTTAAAATAACATCAAAACTAAAATTGTCAAGATTATTGATTTTGTCCAAATTATCGGATTTAAAAAAAGTTTAAGATTTAATAAGATATGTATATTTGTGAATTAAAAAAAAATATATGAACTTAAAAAATTTATTTAATAAATTAAAACACTTGCATTAATAAATTTCGAAACTATTATAATAATAAATTAAATATAATAAATAAATTAAATAATAATATAATATTTTAGACAATTATTTAGCTACACAAAACTTTGCATGCAGCACATATATGCAGTTCTTAGTATGTGTGTAAATTGCATTTGCATTCTAGCATCATTGTGTGCAATTACCTTTTCAGAAAAAATAATACATAATATATTATTTTGGAAAATAAATAAATGGCAAATAGTAATTATCTTATAAATTATTATACATTATGAAGCTTATGTTACATATTATTTTAAACAATCGTTTAGTATTAGATAAAAATTAGTAATAAAATCGAGACAAAATACAAGACGACATTTTTCTTACAAAAACTCAAGATGTAAGTTCTCAAAAAATTTTCAATATCAATAGAATATTTGATGAATATCTTATCTTGAGTATTGTGCAATTTTAATTATTACAAGGAGTCGCATTATCATTTTACAATTTTAATTAATATTATTATTTTACATTATTCCGTTATCTCGAACCCCTTTAAGAACTCAATTTTTTGCTTAAATATACGGTGGTGTGAAAAGCGTACGTATTTTCCATTAAAGTCGCGAATACCAAGATTAGTTTTGATATTCTCTTGTCTTGTCTTGAATTTCAATATCAAGATTTTTAATTAGTTATCAAGACAATACCAAGACTAAGATTATTACTATCAAGATTATTAGTCTTGTCAAGATTATTGATTCTCAAAAAAACTAAAATATTTATATTTGTAAATGAAAAAATCTCTCTCTCTTATCACTATATACGAATTTAAAAAAATTTTATTCAATAAAAACATTTATACTGATAAATTTAAAAACATTTAATATTAATACAATATAACATTTTTATAAATTAGAAATCAAACTCGCAAATTTTAGACATTAAAAAGCATTTCACTCAGGAATTGGTGTGCCTTTAAAGATTTACTTTGTAATCTGGTTTTATTTTTTGACATAGTCGGAGTTTCTATTGAGAAAAGTCTTTCTACTGGCACAGACGAGACAATTGAACTTAAAATGTCTCGAGCCATTTTTGACAATGTGGAATAAATATGAACCTGATTGTTTTACCACTCCAAAATATTTATATCTGCACATTCCTTTGGAGCCTGTAAATAGTTATTAATTTCTGTTTTCCATGAAATAGTAAATGTTTTCTTAAGTAAATAGACGGCATTTATATCGATTACATATTAATAATTATAATTAAAATATAATACAATAGTAATAATTATTTCAAATTATATTACAAAAATTGTTAAATATTATTTAAATACTTTTTTAATATTAGATAAAAAATTGTTAATAAAATCGAGACAAGACAATACAAGATTTTTGCTACCAATATTTACTCAAGACCAAGATTTAAATTTTTCAAAATTTTCAATATCAATACAATATTTTTACGAATATTTTAAATTATATTACAAAAATTGTTAAATATTATTTAAATAATTTTTTTAATATTAGATAAAAAATTGTTAATAAAATCAAGACAAGACAATACAAGACGAGATTTTTGCTACCAATATTCACTCAAGACCAAGATTTAAATTTTTCAAAATATTCAATACAATATTTTTACGAATATTGTCTTGGGTCTTGTGCAACCCTAGTCGCGAAATTCCTTTTATCCAGAATTTCCGACGAGATTTTGTGAAACGTCAGATTTAAAACGATCTTTTCTCTTGTCTGGCAGTCCGAAGGGCAATAAATTGGAAATGTTCGCCGGAGTAAAGAATCAAATGTCCGGTTGGTTGAGTGGCGGTATACCTGGATTAAGCCGCGGCGCCGGAGGCGGCGAGGGTGAGGCTCCACCGTCAGCTGAGACAGAAGAGAGCCAGGTGCCCCAGGAGAGCCAGGCTCCCGTTGCTGAACAAGTAAAGGATGATGACGCAAGCAGGTAGTTGTGTATTTCTTAAATCTTTGTTAAACTTTTACACGCACTTTTTAATATCACCTTTTCATCATTCATTTTTTAATTAATCTGCGAGACAATAAGATACGATCGGAAAATCTCTAGTAATATTTTTCATATTTTTGTCGCGAAAAATATTTTCGCAATCTTAAGTCGATCAAAACTGAGAAGATTAAAGTGCGAAAATATCAGAAATGCGTGTTTTTAACTCTACTTTCCGGATATTAATTTTTTTTATGGACATTCAATTTTTCTTCCTATGTTGACTTTAAGGGAGTGTACATTGAAAATGATTAAACTTTTTTTACTTAAAAAAAAGCTTTTTTTACTTAAATAATTTTCTCAAACTATTTTGAATTTTATAAAAGGATATTTAAATAAAAAAAATATTTAACATATAAAAATGGTTAAAAAGAAATTTTCGATATATTTTCTTATAAAATTATATTTTCCAAACTTTATGTGCCTTTTTCTTGGATATTGATTTAATTATTATTATTATTTGTTTAATGTGTATCTGTTCAACAATAAAAAATGTAAAATTTTTTGATTATTTGAGTCAAATTCTAATCAATCTCTAATTATTATATTTAAAATCTCTAATTATTAAATTTAAAATAAAAAATTTGAAAATGAAAAAATTATGATATTTGATGGTTTGATTAAAAAATAACTAATCTTATCGAAACGATTGAATTATCATATTGACTTTATTCAAATTCTAATTACAATTCGAAAGAAAAACTTATTTAAAAAAGAGCATTGATCAGAATTATATGATAATTATATGAATATAATAGTTATATAATAGTTATATAATAGTTATATGAATGAAAAAAAATTTTTTAAAATTATTTGAATGCATCAATCCAATGAAATGGTTTTTTAAATCTATTTAATACTAATAAATAAATTATGATTTGGTCGTTCAGAAAAAGGAGCATAATATATAAACATACACAAGTAACTCTGACATATTTTACAATCGCATTTACTCCTTTAAAGTCGCATGTATGACAATGTTATATTCGATATGAAACTTTTCATAAAATTTATCGTGATATAATTCGAGAAATCACAATTTCAAAAATCTAAATGTATTTTTGTAAGAAAAAAATCACGTCATTTACCGCAATACTTGTATAATACTTGATTATTGAAAGATGTTTACTTTTATAAAACTGAAGCTTTCGAAATCCAATATTTCACTTGCGACGATCCAACACTGTTATCGGATAAAAAGCGGAATTCACGGAGAAAATATTTTCACAGTGCAACCGGTGGAGCGGACAGCGGTCCCGCGAGTTTAGAGGGCACCCCGACCGACGACAAAAATGGACAACAGGCTTTTGGTGCCGGTAAGTCTCGTTATATTATTGTATGGAAGTATTGTTCGACGAGAGGCATTACTTTCAACGCCATTTATGTACATTGTTTCGCTACATTAAAGCGTCTTATGTATTTTTCATTGAGATCATCTTTACTTCTACAGGGTGGCCCCAACGTACCAGCCAGATTTTGAGATCTTATAGGAAATTTAATTCTGAAGAAAAAATTTCCTATAAACAAGGATCGAAAAATGCTTCCTTAAGAAGTGATCGCTCAAAAACCTCTGATGAAGGAAGAGCAAAAAGTGAAAAGAAAATGAAATAAAAAGAAAATGAAATTAAATAAATTTCTTGAAAAAAAAACGATAAAAATAAAAAATAAAAATCTTTTTCTTTTATCAAAATAAAATAATTTTTTTTTTAACTAACTTTATTTTATTTTCATAAAAGAAAAAGATTTTTATTTTTAATTTTTATCGTTTTTTTCAAGAAATTTATTTAGTTTCATTTTCTTTTTATTTTATTTTCTTTTCACCTTTTGCTCTTCCTTCATCAAAGGTTTTTGAGCGATAACTTCTTAAGGAAGCATTTTTCGACCCATGTTTATACGAAATTTTTTGTTCAGAATTAAATTTCCTATAAGATCTCAAAGTCTGGATGGAACGTTCGGGGCCACCCTGTATATTTTTCATTGAGATCATCTTTACTTCTATACATGTAAAAAAGAATTCTTAGAGAGCTCTTTGTATTTGGAATAAACAAGGAATTTTCATGGAATCAAAAAAAATTCTTTCTTTGAATTTTGCTTTCAATTTCATTGGGTCAACATGCAAAGCAAATTATACATTTAAAATATATTATAAATATGTATCTATTTTTGTTTACATATTCAATGACTGAATGAAATATTCAATATACATATTATATATATACATATTTAATAATATTGTAGTATTTGACAATGATAGAAAAGAAATAATTTTATGCAAGCGGAAAAGAATTATATTTGACAAAAATTCAGTACATTTACATTTTAATAATTTTAGTAAATATAATTATAATTACTTAATAAATATAATTTAATAAATTTAATAAATATAATTATTTAATAAATATAATTATAAATTTAATAAACTTAGACGTTCTGTGTTTTTTCCTTTGTACGAGTAAAAAACATAAAAAATGCATAAAAAAATATAAAAATTATTTTAGAAAGTTGCAGCAGGAAATGTTTAAAGAAAATATTTTCTTTATCTAGAATTTTAAACAAAATATCTGGAAGATCAAGGAATTTTCAGGAAATTTTTGAGGATAGTTACTCTCTGTTGTAAGTTGTCTTTAGGTAGATAAAATTGAAAGAGCGTTTTCATCGAATAACTTTGCGTTATTTTCAAATGTTGACCTTATCCTTCACCTTTCGTGACACCGCGTACGCTCGTTGGCTCGGGATTGACTGTAATATTTAATGAAAAAGCATTCGCGCGAAAATTGTACTTAATTTCAGTTGCAATTTTCGGGCGTTCTCGCTGTGTCAGGGAAAAATTGATTCTTTATTCTGCGTTTACTTTGAAAATTATGCTAGTATTAAAGTTTTAATTAAATTTTCGTCTGTAAATATATTATATAAGAGATGCTATGAAGAAATTATATTTGTGTAAAAGTGATATTAAGGCTGATATCCATCACACGAATTTTTTTTTTTTTTTACGGTGTGAATAGAAAATTGATAATAAAATTCGTAGTATTTTCAGACGCTAAAATCAATTTAAAAAATTGCAAGAATGCGAAAAGAAAGGTTGATTACATGTTATGCGTCTCGTGCATTTCAGTATCCGCTCGTGTTTGATCGCTTATTCCCACTATTCTACAATAGAGATTTGATTTCCTGGACGGCTCTGCGAAGCAATATACATATTCATTGGTAAAATAGCTAACGGCAGCATTTCACGCTTTACAAGCACGAAATTTAGCATACATTCATAAGAGTAATGCGATTAAGCAGTGAGCTATTATCGATTTGAATTGCACGTAGTATTAATTGTTGTTAACAGTTCCGTCAATCTATGTAATCAACGCATTTGAATGGATTTGCAATTCTATTTCTAAAAACAGATTTTTAACAGATTTTTTTTATTTAAATTTTTAGAACGAATATATAATTTTAAACGGTATTTGAAAAAAAATCGTCGGTCTAATCTTATAAAAAGATTTCCTGAAAATCAAGGTTGGCAAAAAACTTGTTTTTTTTTTATTTTAAAGAAAAAAACATTGTTTTTTTGTTTGTTTAGAACAATGTTTTTTGTTTTATTCGTGTTTTTAAGTAAAGTAAAAAAAACATGTTACGTGTTGTTTTAAACAAAAAAAGCATGTTTTAAACAAGCAAAAAAACACTTAATAGCTTTGATCTGTATAAATATTTAAATTTAAATTCTTTTGCTAGCGTTAAACTGTAAATAACGTTGCCAAAATTGACAACGCTATTAAAAATATAAATAATAAAATAAAAATGATAAGATGGGTATTATTTTAGCAGAATATTTATTTTTGGAGAAAAAAAACTCTAGTTAATAATATTTAATATATAATACTTTGATTCCTTTCCTATTCTTATTAAGTAACCTCATGCTTAACTCTCAACATAAATTATAAATAAAAGAAAAATAAAAAATCTCAATTTTTCTTTTTAAAAGAAGAACTTTTTTTTTAGAACTACTGACCTGCTATGAGTTATGTACTATTAATTTAAAATGCTAAAATGTAAAATGTAAAGTCAGTCAATATCTTCTAAGTAATCTTTATTGTATTAATTGTTATTTAATATCCAAAAATAAATATTCTGCTAAAATAATATCCATCTTATCATTTTTATTTTATTATTTATATTTTTATATCTATATGTTACATAAATATAGATAAAAAACTAAAAACACTAAAACAAAAACTTTTTTGCAATATACACATCTTAGTTTTTGTTTTCGATTTTTTTTACAATTTCTTTTCCAAATAATTATATATTTTATTTGCGATATTTTAAATGATTCTAAACAGTAGTTTAAAACAGTTTAAAACAAAAATGTTTAAAACAGTGTCCATTGTTTTAAACAAGTTTTAAACACATTGTTTAAAACATGCCAACCCTGCTGAAAATTCTCTATTCTATTGGATATTTTTGTTCAAAGTTTCAAGTAAAGAAAACATTTTAAAGATTTCTTAATGTAACTTTTTAAAATAAGTTTTCTGTTGTATGCGTTTTTTAATATTTCTTTTCATTCGTATAAAGAAAAAATGCAGAATCTTTTAAAAGTTGATAATTATACTGAAATAAACTGAATATAAATAAACTGAATAGTTTTTATAAGATCATTTTTCAGAACATTTTTTTATTTGCATAACATTTTCATTTTTTTATTACTAGAGATAAAGTTACAATAAAAAATAAAAAAATATATACTACATAATTCAATATTTCGTTAAGACATTGAATATGTAAAAAAATATAGATAGTTGCATTTATAATATACTTTAAGCACACATAATTTGATTTGCTGATTTTAATTATAATATAATAAAATTATCAAAAAATGAATTTAAAAAAAATTTTTTTAGTCCCAGTAAAAGTTTATGAGAATTCCCTGATTTTTTTCATGTACAAAAGAGAAATTTCTGAAAATTTTCGATTTTCCAGAAGTTGACTTCATAATCACGTTTGTCTTCATTATTTTTGCGTGCATTAATTCGTTTTAGTATTTTTAGATTAACATGTAGGAACACGATATTCTTTTTGTAATATCGTAAATATTTTATCATTAAACCAACCTCTAGATATTCGAGTCGACAAATAATGATTCTCTTTGAAAGAGGACGCTTTGTTATGAAGCACTGTGTTTCTGAAGCGTTTGTATATAGGGTGTCCAAAAAGTCCCGGACCGGTCGAATATTTCATAAACTATGCACTTTAGAAAGAAATGTTTCAGACAAAAGTTGTATGGCTTCAAGAGGGCCATCAGATAGTAGCAATGATTTGGCATGGGAGAGTCATTTGAAAGTCACGTGATTGGTGTAAGGAAAACACATAGTTGTTTTAAAAAAAATATGTAATTATTAATTGCAAATTACATATTTTTTTCTTAAAAACAACTATGTTTTTTCTTTACACCAATTGATTCCTCTCATTATTTTGTACATAAAATTATTAGGTAAGATAATCGAAAAATGAATATTTTACTAGATATTTTATGGTTTATGCAAAATTAAGAAATGATTTCAAGCCTCATAAGTCGAAAAGTACTCAATGAAGAAATACTTTATTATAGTGTTTTGGAAAGCTCTCGGGATAAGTTACATGAATATGTAATAAAAAATAAGGGGTTTAATTTAAAAAATTGACGGTGATCTTCACGTGATTTTCAAATGACTCTCCCCTGTCAAATCATTGCCACTATCTGATGGCCCCCTTCAATCCATACAACTTTTGTCTGAAACATTTCTTTCTAAAGTGCATAGTTTGAAATATTCGACCGGTCCGGGACTTTTGGGACACTCTGTATATTCTCAATATTAAACAAGTTATTTCTTTCTCCATTGGAAATACATTATTATGTCGACGGATCTTATCATTTCCCTTACATCATGTAATTTCTCGCGTAATGCAAACGTACTTTCTTCCATCGTACTTCTGAAAATTTTCGTAGAATTATAACGAGAGTGCAGTGACGTGAGAGGAAATGAGTTAGCACATGTTGAGTAATAAAATGTCACGCAAAGTGTTTGGGGAAACGAGAAATATTATGAGTGAAATATTTTTGAAATCTTAACGCGACACATGCATTTCGATTCATGAATGAAATATGCTTAAATTTGTCCGAATCGGGAAAAGTATTGTCTCATAAGCAAGCTTTTTGACAAAGTGCATTCTGGGAATTTTTCAAGAGTAAGTGGTAAAGTAAAAGCAACGGTGAGAAAATTTTTTTATACTCTCGTTCGTATTAACTCAAAAATCAAGGATAATTATTTTTATTAATATATTTTTA